ATTCATATTAAATCCCCAGATAATTTATTGTTCAACTTGGTTTAATTTTCTATCTTGGGCTTCTATCATGTCTTTAAAAAGTCAAAAATGTTTAGAGTTTTATATTTTTTCTAATTCTGGAGAATTACCATATATTCCAGACTATAGGTCGCGCCTAACTATAAGCCGCGCCCACTACATATTTTGAAAAAACTGGAAAACTACATACATAAGCCACACTCGGCGTAGGGGGAGCTCTAGAGTAGGGACGAAGAGTGCTAGCTCCCGTTAGCTTTTTTTCTTGCGGCTAGAGCTTCTACTGAAATATAGGGCTTTGTCAGCCCTTTATTTCAGCCCTGCAGGAGTTGAGCCCAGTCTCTTCATTGGTTCGGCAGCTTTAATGAGGCAAATAAATGTAAAAATATGTGAATTTGGGAGATTTGTTCTCCGTCATGCCTGCTGTTAGCATCTTCTTGTGCTAAATGAAAAGGAGCCCCTTATTCTTTCATTTCCAACTTTGATTTCCCCCTCTGGCGGTTGGGAAAAAATCCACTGAAAAGTCCCACCATGTTTAAAGCCACATGGTTCAAAACGTGGGAAAAAAGCTTGTAGATCAGAAAATACAGTAAATTGTTTTTTCTCCAAAAATTGTTATTTTTAATGAAAATTGATTTATATAAATCCTTTTTGATTTGCCAAACTGCAGTCTTTTAAAATGTTATCTATCGATAATTTTGTGTTGACCACTTTAGGTCTACATTTAACTGGACCTGTAGCTCTGAAACTGGGCCTGAAATGTCAAACAAGCCACCAAACCTGCAGTTTTCCCTGATTCTTACAAATAAAATCCATTCAAGTGCTCACTGTCCTCCTGTGGGTTGTTCTAAATAGAAGAACAACTATATAAACGGGTCTTTGATCTAGCTTACATTTGCTGATTAGCAGAAAAATCACATCAGCTTATTACATTTATTCTGATTGTAAGAGGTTTATCTAGGGAAGTGTTGGCCTAGTGGTTAGATAAGTGTGTTTGTGCTCTGAGAAGGTTGCAATTACCCGGTTCAATCCCCACAGCCTGCACTCTTGGTTCCTGAGCAAAACCCTTAACCCCACACTGCTCCCCGGGCGCCGCACAATGGCAGCCCACTGCTCCCCAAGGGGATGGCTTAAATGCAGAGGTGAATTTCTCCAATGTCAGACAATAAAGGGATTTACATAACATTACATAAAAGAGCATCATTTAAACGAATAAAAGTCCAAACTCCCCCTTTACTTCTCCTTAGTTGTCGATAATATCTCCTTAATCTTCCTAGTTTTCCTTTCCTCTCCCACACAGGTTTAAGAAAACAAAGCCAAGTTATTTAAATGTTGGCCTTAATTCAAATGTTCAGTAAACAGAGTTCTCAGAGATGATGGTCTCCCTCATTCTGACCAGGTTTGACTCCAGGACCTGTCCAACAACACAGTTGCTTGAAGATGACACACATTTTGTTTCAGAGCATCTTTAGATTTAGGCTTTTTATTAATAGTAGTTTCCTTCTGCAAATCAAATCAAAACATTTGCAGAATGCATAGATAGTCTCAAAGCCTTTTAGAGTCCTTTAAGTGAAATCAGGCAAATTAAAAGGTTTTCTGTTTAAGGAAACCCAGCAGATCACATCGAGGGATCTAAAAATATCTACCATTAGTCAAGCATTGTTGGTGTGTCAATATCAGCTTGTTTTAAAGGTGAATCGCATTATGATGCCACTTTATGACCAGTTTATGACTCTGCACTTACCTGCTTATGTTTGCTTAATGTTTATTATGGGTCAGTGTGGATTTACAGCTTTACAAACAAATATTTTTCCAATGATTACCCTGATAAAGCTGCAGTATCCACAGCAGATGCCGTCCTTTATTAAAGCTAAACCCCTCCAACTTCAGTTTTTATGAGAGAAAGCGACATTAAGTGGTGAATAATTGTGAAGCTAATAGAAAAGGATTCATCATTTTCTCTCTGTTCTTTGTAAATAATTATGTGTAGAGTGGGGGTGTGTTCATATTCAGCTCCTCTAAATAAAGACTTTGTGAAACCGGCTTTCCATGAACTGCCAAACCTTTTGTACCATAGTGTCTCTACCAGTACTTCACATCAATTTATGCACGTTTTTCTACAAAATCGCTCAAGCTCAGTCAGATTGGATGCATCATTAACACAATTCTTTATGCAGATTCTTAATTGGATTTAGGTCTGGACTTTGACTAGGCCATTCCAACACATGGACATCTTTGATCAAACATTTTCCAGGATTCTCCTTCCCTTTAGCTTCATCTATCTTCCCATTATTATTTTTTTTTTCTGGTTTCTTTCACTGACGAAAAGTATTCCCACCGCATAATGCATCCACTGTGGTGTTTCACTATGGGAATAGTGTCTCCTGGTTGATGTGTGGTGTTAGTTGTTTTTCCAACACACAAACATTTTCGTGGGTCAGTTTGGATAAATGTTCATTTACTGTTTAAAAGCTCTACTAAAGGAAATTTTGTTTTGTATACACTCTGTGTATACAAAATGACAATAAAAGTTGTCAAAGGATCTGAGCATCGCACCTTCTTTCATGTCTCCCAGACACCGCTTTTGGTGAACTTCAAACGGGATTCCTTTTGGCTTTTGTTTACCAAAAATTCTACAGATTTTAAATTTATTTGCCCTACTTATGTTATTCATAAAATTGTTTTACACATAAGCGACAGAGTAAGCCTCTTGTCCAGCCTTTTCTATAATGCGCATAACTTTAACTGAATAAATGTGAGTTTTTTAAAAGCTGCAAAAATAAAAATAAAAAACTTCAATTAGATCCTCATTGATCAAAGATTGATCCCTGCAGGTCAATATGATCATATATAACAAGAAGCTTATCAAAAGAAGCCCTAATAATCCCAACATTTATTTTTTGAGCCAGCTTGTTTATACTTGCCGCCGTCCGGCTGTGGGTTCCGTTTTTAAAATTCTCGGCTCAGTACGTGGAAGCCCGTATTTCTAAGAATCGGGCCGATATTGCTGAACGCGTGCATAGAGGAGAAACGAGTTGTGCCTGAATCTCTGCTACTCTCCTCGCTCTGTCTGCATCCTCTCCCTTCAGTAATACACACAACACTGCCTTTGTTTTCGGAGATGAGTAATTCTCTTCAGAAGTAGGCGACATTACAGCCTCAGATTGCTCTTCTATCTGTCAGGATTTCTAAATCTTATGTCGGACTCAACTTTTCTGATGTTTTTCTATTCAAGTTGTCCAAGTCATTATTAACTGAATTATCATTTTCTTTTTTAATTAGTTTACTTAGAAAATACCTTTCCAAGTCAAACGAGCATGCCTGGATGCATCTGCCTGGGGGAGCATATTCAGGCTGAAACAATTAATCGGATTAATGGTGATTCATCTGTTATTGAAATAGTCGTCAAATCATTTAGTAATCAATTAATCTTAACCTGGAGTATAAAAAACAGAGCAACCCACTTAGAGCAGTAATTATACCAAGATTGTGAATAAATATGTAAACATTTTGCATTCAGTATTAAAAAAGCTTTTTTATCCATCAGTATGTTCTATCCAGAACTCCTCAAGTGGAAACATTTTAGTTTCACCTGGTTTGTTTTCGTAAACAAATCTTCAAGGAAACTTTGACCTTCCGATTGATAAAAAAAAAAAATCAACAGATTAATCGATTTGCAAAATAACCGTTAGTTGCAGCACTAGTGCACATAAAGTAGGGATCATTTGAATATTTTAGAATATAAACTTGACCAGAATGGATGAAGGTAATGTTAAGTCTAGATGGGGAAATGATGAACCAAATGCTAAAGGCCAACCAATTATGAATATTGGTATTTTTCACAAGGAAATTAGTTTCATTACCTTTTTGGTACATGCAACAAAAAGTTAATAGATATTTATGTTTGTCCTTCAATGAGCAAAATATGTTTGTTTTTACTTGTCCACAAAAACATTTTAGGTAAAACTAAAATTAAACAATTCTTTCTGCATATGACATTAAAAAAAATTACATATGTTCTCTTGTGAAATATTAGCCCAGTTTTACTCAGTTTTTTCACTTAATAGTTTATTTTTTCTTCATTTTCTGCTCACCTGAGCTCCCTTTAGAACATGAACCATACTTTAAACAGTTTGGATTTAGGTTCCACCATATTTATGTGTGCACTGCAGTCTGCAGTGGACTAACAGGCCACCCTAAATAGATCCTAGGATGTGTTTGTAGTTTTTAATGATCTTTCTGAAAACAAAATATTTCCTGTTATATATTATGTCCTTCAGCCACTGTCTCGATCATTATGCGGGTTTACATGGAATGGGAGGACTGGTTCTTCGTGTCTTGTTTAGGTTCAAGCTGTGGAAATGCATGCAGCTTTCTAAACAGCAATTCAGGTTTTTTGTTTACAGTCTTAGGAAAGGCAACCAGTTGCATCAGAGCATGTATTTATATGTTTTGTAGGAAAATCTTTTGCTTTGTTTTGTTGATCTGAAAACCTAAAAATCAGATAAGCCTTTGCTTCATTAACAGACAGAGATGGTTAGATAACATGACCACACAGGCTTTTCTAACCTGGCTGCCAATGTTTGCAGTAGACCAACTGAGAAGAACTTTGTGGCCCATATCAGAGCTCCGGCTTCCATCAACTTTGACCCGTTGATGCAGAACTTAGCCATTCTGATTGTCTATGAGCTGGAATTTATTATTTTTTTATTAGAAGTGAACTAAAAAAATAAACCAATTTTGTGAATTAAAAGTAAAAAATATTGATGACAATGCAGCTGAATTCTTTTGCACAGTAAAACAAAATATTAAACTTAGAATGTTTGCATTTAGAAAGAAGTAGTGTTGTGATTTAAAGGGGATTGTGATTAGTTTATCACAAAATGGTTTATAACCCTTAAATTGAAGCTTTGAGAAGTGAAAGTTATACCGAACAGGATGTGGGTTAGCTGTACCAAGTCTTTCTCTCTCATTTTGCTCTCCAGGCTCTAACTACGCCATGTCTAATGGGGGTGGAGCAGCCAGTAGTAGCACCCATCTGTTGGACTTCCTGGAGGAACCCATTCCAGGAGTCGGGACGTACGATGACTTCCACACCATCGACTGGGTTCGCGAGAAGTGCAAAGATCGCGAGAGACACAGAAAGGTGAGGAGATGGAGAGGAGCGTCTAAACAGCATTTAATGTCAGCACTCTTTACACACAGTTGCATTATAATACATCTTCTAAATAAATCCAGATTAATCTGTTTTCATATAAAACAGCCATTATAGATCCATGCAGGTAGATCCAAACTGTAAAAAGTGAAAGAAATTTAAGATGATCTTTGGTCAAAATTTAAACATAACCTTTTTTCTGAATGTAGAGATTCTGCAACATCATTGAATATTATAAACATTTCAATATTTTTTACTTTAAACTGTGAATTTTCTCCACACTGTTCATCATATGTCTCTTTTAAAACAATGTAATTGTTTTCAATTCTTTTTACCTTCATTTGAGGCTTCTGGTTGTTTTTCCATGTGTTTGTTTTTTTTTAGTCGTATCTAGAATATTGAGTAATAATTATTTTATTTACGAGCACCTTTCATAACACTCAACTTCATTTCACAAACAAAAAAGGTAACAATAAAGCCTAATGGGAAAATAAAATAACTTCAAATAGTTTATGTTGAACAGTTTAATCCCAATGAGTAAATATTCCTGAACTCTGTGGATTTGAAGTCTGGATTATGAATCTGTGGTTGGAGAGTTCCAGAGTTTGGCAGAAAGTTCTGCTTCCTATTGGAGTTGAGATGAACAGAGGAACCCGTGATACAGGAGGACCTGAAGAAACGTTAGTAGGTTACTATATGGAGATCAGTTCTCTGTGACCTTGAAAGTAAACAGAAGGATCTTGAATTTTTCGGCAGCCAATGAAGCGGATTTGGTGAAAAGAAGATGTTTGGATGAAAATAGGAGCCGCTGAGTTCTGGAACATTTGGAGATTCAGGTGGAACTTTTAACAGAGTTCCCACGGATCATTAAAAAGTCTTAAAAGGCATTGAATTCATGAATCTAAAAACAAGGCTTCTAGGATTGTAAGTGGTCTCAAAATAAACAGTAACATTTATTTATGTTAAATAATTTACCTAATGCATCTCATGGTAAATTATGGGAAAGTGTAAATTTAATGAAAACAGGCTGTCCACACTGGAAAAAATCAAAATCAAGTCAATTTTTCTTACGTAAAATAAGTGCATTTCTTCTTGGATTGAGGAAGTAAAAGAGACACTTTGCCAATGGAACAAGACAGTTTTACACTTAAAATAAGAAAACACAATGGCATTGTCTTATTTCAAGTGCATATTATCTAATTATCTTATTTTAAGAGTAAAAATACTCATTCTATTGGCAAACTATCTCATTTACCTACTCAAATTATGGGTAAAGACACTTAATTTAAGACATTTTTCCTTATTTCTAGATCGTTTTTTCCAGCGCAACCCAAGTTATTTATCGTGGGTTAAATGCGTACGAGGCATGGTGTGTTTTGTGAAATGTTTCTGCAAGATATGAATCAAGCCTCAAAATCGAGCTGCCAACAAAAACCAGGTATCTCCCAGTTTCTTTTTTATTTATTTTTTGGATGCACTAGTAGCTCGTTTTTTGGACAGCAGGCTGACAAGAAGGGGGAGGACCACAGGTCCGATTAAAACCCCGGTCAACCGTGTCGAGGACTAAGGCCTCCGTACATGGGTTGTGTGCGCTAACCACTGCGCCACCAAAGCACACCCCCATCTCCCACCTCTGTTCAACTCTCATTTCTACCCTGGACATCAACAACCGGGAGCGCATACCTGCATCTCCTGACAATGTTCAGGTGTCCTCCCACCCTGAAAGTGGAGGTACAGCGTTCTCAAACACTGTGACCAAACCTGGCTATTTGTAAAAATGGTCTTAAAGTTCAGCTCAAATAGCATTAAAAAGGTCTTAAAACGTCTTAAATTTAACTAGCCTTACGTTGTAGGAACACTGTTTTAAGGAAAGCAATCAATGTAAACAACGGTGGACCCAGGGGAAAATATTGTTACATAGATGAAAATATGCAGACGAGATGATTAAAAATGAGAGAAGTGAATAATAGGGAGCGATTAAGGATACCAGCCAAACACCTGACCTAATTATCGTTCCGTCATTGAAGAGAGAGGAAAAAAATCATTCAATTATGGTTGATCCTATACGAAGAGGAAATTTACATTGATTTAATTTCAGCCAAACAGGCGGTGAGAGAGAACAGCAGGAGTATAGAGTTAGATTTACTAGATAAGTCGAGCTGAGTGTCATCTATGTAGCAGTTTATACAAATATTACATTTAAACAAAATGTTCCCAAGGAGAGCAGGAAGAGTAGGGGTCCTTGAACAGAGCCCTGAGGTTTACCTTATGTTACTGGAGAGAACTGAGCTGAGCTCCTAACCTTATTGTTACCTTCATCTTCCTTTATGTTTTTGGCACTACTTCTCAAAAGGTCTTGAATTTTTAACTCAAGAGCTTAATAAAAATTACTGATTAACCTATGAGGTATTTGTGTTACATTTATAGTCCTAGTGGTCTAAAAATGAAACGAAGTCTTATCTTCTGCAACCGGAAGAAAATTTCATACATTTTTGTGGAATCTTGTCTTGGCTTCAATTTGTGTTAAACATTTTTTTTATATAACTCGCATATACTCCCCACCGTGCTTCCTCTTTCTACCAATTCTACCTCTTTATTTCAACACCTTGTTCAAATATTGACTCTTTGTCCTTGTAAACCTTCCTCACGTTTTTCAATGCAGAACTCCTGGGTGCTGATAAGAATTTCAATGATATTTGAATACTTTGTTTTTATGACCGGGCCATTCCTGCCTCACAGGAAGCGCTGTAGTAAACCACTTTATTAAGTCAACAATGGAAATCATGCCAGCGGATTACAAAGTTTATTCCACCTTTCGACCTACTTGCATATCAGCCAGCGATAGTTTCCTGTTCATCGTGCTTGTGATGCGTTTATTTTTAATTGCATAATTGTTTCTCTGCACAGATCAACAGCAAGAAGAAAGAGTCGGCATGGGAGTTCACCAAGAGCCTGTACGACGCTTGGTCTGGGTGGCTGGTTGTGACGCTCACCGGCTTAGCATCAGGTAACAAACCTGTTGATTGGAGGAAAAAAAAACAAAAACAAATCAAAATGGCGGTTGTTTTTCCTGATGGTGACTCTCACATGCTCTGCCTCAGGCATCACCTGCTTTTTCTCCCTTATCTTCTGATCTGATTTCTCACGAGCACACTGTTCTGCAGAGCATCACCAGACACAGTGCGGCTGTCTTGGCTGCACAATCCAACCACTTCATGTTTGTAAAAATAGAAGCACTCTCTGCTTTAAAAAATGGAAACTGTGGGGTTGTATGTGACAGACCAACACCAAGTATACGAAAATCATAAAGTGGGGAAAAAAAGATACTTGGTTTGAAATCTGAAAAGTGTGGCATGCATTTGTGTTCTTCCAACTGAAGGGGAAACCTTTCCTTTCACTGCTGTGTCCTGCGGGGTATCTCAGCTTACATGTTTAGAGGTCAACTCTCTTTGTCAATAAGCTCAAACCCAGCCTACTTAAATAGACTAGGTTATACGCCTGGACTTTGACTAGGCCGTTCCAGCTTAGCTCTGCTAGTTATAAAACATTTTTGAAAATCTCTGATAATTTAGTATAATATGTTATTCTTAAGGAATCCCTCTTTAAAAGTCTGGAGGATTTCTGAGGCACAATTTAGATTCAATTCAATTCAGTTTATCTATATACACCAATTCACAACATGTCATCTTAGGACACTTTACAATTCAACCAGATCATGCAGTCTAATTAATTAAAGTTTTCTATCTAAGGAAAACCAGTTGATTGCATCGACTCATTGACTCGATGGCGATTTGTCTTGCGGCGATGCCATTTTTTTTGGCCCCGATACCAATACCATACCATACCACTACCATCTGTTTGAAATTGATGTATGTGTGTGTATATATGAAGAACTGAATACTACTTTGATGTAAAATAATTGCCCTCATGGCTTTGTTACGCTGCTGCCTACCTTTGTGAAACAGACTAATACAAAGTGAATCCAGTAGAACTTTTTATTGCCTACCTGAAAACTTTTGGCTCTCAAAATGTTATCGGTGCCCTATTTGTTGGTACTTTCTTGGTATACGGATACCACCATTTTAGTGCTGGATTGGGGTCCTGCCTGATACTGGTATCGGCGCAACACAAACAGCAATCCCTCACACTTAGCATGCTTGTAGCGACAGTGGAGAGGAAAAACTCCCTTTTAACAGGAATAACCAGACTCTGTGTGAGCGGCCATCCGCCGGGGCCGACTGGAGCTCAAGGAGACAGAAGCAGACATAGAAAAAGAAGCAAATATACAAAAGGAAATGTCTAATATCTTGCATCCAGATTTCATAATTTAAAGGTTTTTATTATCAGTAGCCTGAGTCCAGACTAAACAGGCAAGCTAGCTTCACCACCCTCCTGTCTTTTTTTCCTTTCCCTCTTCTCCTGCTTTCTCACCTCCCTATCTCCATTCTCTCTCCCCATCTTCCTCCTTCCTGTTTCTCTCCCTCTGCCAGGTGCTTTGGCTGGCCTGATTGACATTGCTGCTGATTGGATGAATGACCTGAAGGAGGGGGTTTGCCTGAGCGCCATGTGGTTCAACCACGAGCAGTGCTGCTGGACATCCAATGAGACCACCTTCGATGAGCGGGACAAGTGTACTCAGTGGAAGAGCTGGGCTGAGCTAATATTGGGGCAGGCCGAGGTAGACCTACACAGTCAGCTGAAGGGAGATCGGTCTGGTCTGTCTTAGCTGAAGCTTTTTGTTTTCAGCCGTCATTGTGAAGAAAGGCAATGAACCAAAGCAGCTGAAATCCTGAAAGAGAAATCCAGAAAGAATTTAAATACGAAACCTGTGTTTTTAGTTTTCTGTCTCTGAAATGTAGAGATACTTTCTGTTTAATGATTAAGAAAAAACGGTTACGAGTCGGTTCATGGTTTGAAGCAGTAGAGGTTAATTTTCTGTCAAATTTGGCTTTCATGGTTGATCCTAAGGTTTTCAGGTTATGGCTCCTTTTTTCTGCAGGGCCCCGGCTCTTACATCATGAACTACTTCATGTATATCTACTGGGCTCTGTCCTTTGCCTTCCTGGCCGTCTGTCTGGTCAAGGTTTTCGCTCCATATGCCTGCGGCTCAGGAATCCCTGAGGTGAGGAGAACGATGAGATCATCTAGTGTCTGGCTTCAGGGTTAATGCGTTTCAGGATTGATAACGTTCCTTTTTGCCCTCAGATCAAGACAATCTTGAGTGGGTTCATCATCCGGGGCTACTTGGGTAAGTGGACCCTGATGATTAAGACCATCACTCTGGTGCTGGCTGTGGCGTCTGGGCTCAGCCTGGGGAAGGAGGGCCCCCTGGTCCACGTGGCCTGCTGCTGTGGAAACATCTTCTCCTACCTCTTCCCAAAGTACAGCAAGAACGAGGCCAAGAAGCGAGAGGTGAGGAAGTGGATGTTTGGGGATTTTAGGTATAGAGCGTCCATTGAGACCTTTTTGTTGCCTTCTTAGGTTTTATCGGCTGCATCCGCTGCTGGGGTCTCTGTAGCTTTCGGCGCACCGATAGGAGGAGTTCTCTTCAGCTTGGAAGAGGTACCCCGGCTAAGATATCAATGAATTTTAAAAATTGTGAGTCACAACTAAGAATGTTAATCACCCACGCTCTGCTGCCTCCCTTCAGGTGAGCTACTACTTCCCTCTAAAGACTCTGTGGCGCTCCTTCTTCGCCGCCCTGGTGGCGGCCTTCGTGCTGCGCTCCATCAACCCCTTTGGTAACAGCCGGCTGGTACTGTTCTACGTGGAGTATCACACTCCCTGGTACCTGTTTGAGCTCATCCCCTTCATCCTTCTGGGTGTGTTCGGGGGGCTCTGGGGTGCCTTCTTCATCCGAACAAACATCGCCTGGTGCAGGAGACGCAAGTCCACACGCTTTGGTAACTATCCTCCTCCTCCCAATTCTCGATGTTTACTGCTATGTAAATCGTAGCTAAGGTGCTTAGAGCCATGAGTCTCTTTGAACCCAGCATTAAGTTGAGGTGTTAGTTTGACTCTTGTCTCTCTTTAGGGAAGTACCCGGTGTTGGAGGTGATCCTAGTCGCCACCATAACAGCAGTGGTTGCTTTTCCAAACCCCTACACCCGTCAGAACACTAGCGAGCTGATCAAAGAGCTGTTCACAGACTGCGGCCCGCTGGAAACCTCCGCACTCTGCAAGTACCGCAGCGAGATGAACGGCAGCACCGCTTACACGGACAACCCCAACCAGCCGGCGGGACCAGGCGTCTACTCGGCCATGTGGCAGCTCTGCCTGGCTCTCATCTTTAAAATCATCATGACTATATTCACTTTTGGACTAAAGGTGATCTGCATGATCCCCCCCTGCGTAGCAAACTAAAAGGTGTCTGCTCCAGATCTTAAAATCAGCTGAACCTCTCGCTGTGTCTGGTCCTTTAGGTACCATCAGGCTTGTTCATCCCCAGCATGGCCATTGGAGCAATCGCGGGCCGAATTGTCGGCATCGCCATGGAGCAGCTCGCCTACTACCACCACGACTGGTTCTTGTTCAAAGAGTGGTGCGAGGTTGGAGCGGACTGCATCACCCCAGGCCTCTACGCCATGGTGGGGGCCGCAGCGTGTTTGGGTGGGTCAGAGTTCTCCTTTATTTCTTTCCCAATCGGTTCCTTTTTGTTCTGAAAAGTGTTTCCAATGTCCTTTAGGCGGAGTGACACGTATGACCGTATCACTAGTGGTCATTGTGTTCGAACTGACAGGCGGGCTGGAATACATCGTCCCCCTGATGGCCGCCATCATGACCAGCAAATGGGTGGGTGATGCGTTCGGCCGCGAGGGAATCTACGAGGCCCACATCCGTCTGAACGGATACCCCTTCCTGGACGCCAAAGAGGAGTTCACACACACCACGCTGGCCAGAGACGTGATGAGGCCCCGGAGCAGCGACCCTCCACTGGCGGTGCTGACGCAGGACGACCTGACAGTCGAGGAGCTGCAGGGTATCATCAATGAAACCAGTTATAATGGTTTTCCAGTGATCGTGTCTAAGGAGTCGCAGAGACTGGTGGGCTTCGCTCTGCGTAGGGACATAACTATTGCTATAGGTAAAACTGCAGTAAAATAACCTAAAAACAGACTAATGAATTCCTTTGCGCTCTAAACATGCTTCTCTTTCAACAGAAAATGCTCGCCGCAGGCAGGAGGGCATCATGTTGAACTCCAGGGTGTACTTCACCCAGCACGCACCCACCCTGCCGGCCGACAGCCCCCGGCCCCTCAAACTGCGCTCCATCCTGGACATGAGCCCCTTCACGGTCACGGACCACACCCCCATGGAGATCGTAGTGGACATTTTCAGAAAGCTGGGGCTGCGACAGTGTCTGGTCACTCACAACGGGTAAGTAACACAGCTGGCCATTTGTCCAACAACAGGGGGGCAGCCCTCCCTGTCAGGAGTCAACACTTTGCCCCATAGCTCATGTACTCACTGCCCGTTGCTGCATGGCCTCTCAGATTCTGCATGACTCGGCCGAACTGCAGCCCCTTTAATCCCCTCACTGAACAGTCCCCCCCCCCCCCCCCCCCCCCCCCCCCCCCCCCCCCCCAACAAGCTGCTGACTAAAAACTAACCACACAACAGGTGCCATTTTGGGATAACAGTCATTGAGACGTCCCCAGCTGTTCTTTTAACACGTGGAGTCCAAACATCCAGCATGATGGTTTTCATTGTGCGCATTTCAAGGAGGTTGTTTTACAAAGCGCCCTCTGCTGGTGGGAAGGAGAAGTTGCAGGATGATGCAGCGCTAGATTATAGTGAATTTATCAGATGAGCTCTTTCTATTAGCTGTGATAACCACAGGAGAGGAGCAAGAGCAGCAGTATTTATTTTATGTTCATTTTCTTGTTTCGTTTGGTTTTTAATCATAAATTGATCAATTTAACTTTTTTTTTCAATAAAACTTAGAAAAAAGACCAAAATCTGCTGATTTTTGGTCTTATTTTAAGTTTTACTGACAATCAGAAAAATATCAAATATTACTTCAGTTCATCATATTTTTTTTTTATCATACTTCATGATTACATATAGCTTTCATTTAAATCTCCCTTGTCTGTTTTTTTGTTTTTATTCAGTTGTGTTATTTTTAGCTGACATTGGTTTTAACCTCAGACTGCTCTTTTTTTATGTTACCCTTTGTTATTTCTCTGTTTACTCCTTTGTTGTTGTTCTTGGGCAGTGTACCGAGTAACAGGTGTGTGTTTCAGGAATGTGTTGGGCATCATCACAAAGAAGAATATATTAGAGCATCTGGAGGAGCTCAAGCAACACACGGAGCCCCTGGTGACTAGCCCCGCCCCTTTACTCCCCACCACACTGTCACTCCTGTCTATTAGACCACGATTCTTAGAAGGGATGCATGAAAAGTGCTGTGGAAAACTGCTGACAGTTCCCGACTTAGCATCTCCTCTCTTTTTCCCTCTTACTTCACTCACTCTGTTGTTGGTGGGTTGGTTTGTTGTGGATTTTGAACTCATGAAGAAGCATCTTCAGATAGACGGTCTCTTACTTCCATCTTCATTGCTTGTAGCCTTTGGAGTTTCTGAGCCATATTAGCAAAAGTCTTTGCGTGAGTTTTGTGGGTCCTGTAATGGTGGACCTGAGTGGGAACTGTCACCTTCATCACACAGGAGCGCCTTTCAGACATGCCCCTAATAACCTCTGTAAATGTGCTGGAACATACATTAGGTATTTCAGCTACAACCTATAAAGTCTGTATAATTTACATTACAGAAAACAAAATGTAGAGGCTTAAGCACAATATAATATGGAAGAGGATTAGGGCCACTTAAAAAAAAAAGTTAATTGATTTTTAAATTTTATTTCTGTTTATTATGGGAAAAAAGTCAGAATTCTGACTTTTTTTCTCAGAATTCTGACTTTAATCTCAGAATTCTGACTTTTTTTTCTGACTTTTTTCTCAGAATTCTGACTTTTTTCTCAGAATTCTGACAGCTAACAAACATGTTAGCATCAAGCCATAGCCATGTCTGTTTTAGAGATTAGCTCTCTTGTTTTAATGACCTTCTGCTCCTCCATTAATGAGGGGACCCCTTGGGCACGTAAAAAGTTGCCTAATTCCATCATTTTCCACCAATGTGTCACTGGCCCTCCCAAACAACTCACATCTTTGTCAGTGAAGCTGAGTGCTCCCACATCTCTTCCTTCATGGTGCCCATCTACATTAAGATTCAAAATTCTGAGATTAAAGTCAGAATTCTAAGAAAAAAAGTCAGAATTCTGAGATTAAAGTCAGAATTCTGACATTTTTTCCCCATGTTAAACTGAAATAAAATTTAAAAATCAGTTAACTTTTTTTTTTTTTTTTTGAGTGGCCCTAATCTGCAGAATGAATATATATATAATTAATTTAGATCTGGCTTTGGGAGTTTTAAAACATTTGCAGGGAGTGTCCAAGGTTACCAAGAAGTTTTCTGTTTGGAACAGTTTGCTAAGTGCTAACGCTAGCATGATGTCTTCCTGTATCATAGGGCCATATTTCTGTGTAATACCGATCCTTTATCTGTTGAAGATCTAAATGTGTTTCTACAGCTTTAACATTTATCTTTCATAGTGTCCCTCAGCCAAGGCTGAACCACAGAGGTCTACATGTCTGAAAGGGGCTCCTCAGGGTCCATAGTGCAGCTCATCCCATTAACCTGCCTCTGTTCCAGCTGTAGTTCTGCTCAGCGCTCTCTTAGCCGCTTCACACTAGCAGCTCAGTGCCACCATTATCGCTTTGCATTTTCACATTCACTCACTGAGCCCAAAATTATTCTCATTCTAAAGTGAGTTTTTGTTTGGCAGAACAAAAACAAGAAGTTAAGGGTTTTTCTTGGTGAATTTAACATGTATTTGATGTATATGCTTAAAATAAATTGCATATATATATATATATATATATATATATATATGCTTTTTTACTTGTTGCAGCAAGAATAAAGCCATCAGCCAACCAAGCGTTCACCTTAGAATGAAACTCTCTGGGTTGGAATATTTTTGGGCTGAACCACAGAAATCATTTTGTGCCTTTCAGAAGGAGTCGGACCCGTCATGGACGACCCTCCTCTGCATGTTTGCAGTCATGATACCTGTTTTGTTTCTCATCTTCTCATCGCAGCATTAGATCATTTCATTTTCAAGCTCACTCACCCGCAGGTTTCTCTCTCCATTAACGGCTGCTTTTTTCTTCTTTTTTGTTTGTTTTTCTTTTTATCATTTATGGTGTTGACTCCGTCCCCGCCCCACTGGCTCCCCAGAGTGACGGCGTCTGATCCGTGGGCCTAAACAACGACTTGGCGAGTAGTTAGCCGCCCTTGGATAGCGGACCTCTGTTGTTTTAATTTAGAATGAGTTTAGTGAAAGGTTAACAATCTCAGAAGAGAGGGGAACCTCCTTTAGAAGTTCACAGCCATTTCTTTTAGCTTGTAGTTGTGCGTGTGGAGTGTCGATGTGATGAGTGGTACCAGTAGCTGTAGCTTAGCTATTCCGTGTGTTGTGACAACATGGGATAAATCCGCTCCCATGTTTAACCTGCCAATGTTTCCATCAGCCAGCAGAGTCCCGCCTTAGGAAGGCTAAACCCTACAGCTAAAACACAGCGGCTCGATCTTTTGTTTCTTAAGGAATTCACTTAAATTCAGACAATTGAGGTTAGAGACACAAAAAACTATCATTTAATGGCTAATGCTAATCTGCCAATATCTCTTGTTTATGTGTTTGGACTTTCTTTTTAAGAAATATAATACTGGGAAAAATACAGTATTTAGAATGATTTTTCTATTATTTACATTAGGAACTCTAACAGCATTCAATCTAAAACAGTAGTTTTACTATTTAAAAAACTTAAAATAATTTCAGTTCACATTTAAGCTGTTAGCATCTTTTATTAGCAATTAACTTTATAAATAACAAAGCCGTAGATTATGCCTTCAACGCTAGGATTTCCAAATGCAGCATTTTTTATGACAGTTTGAAAGCTTTAAGTATGAAAAAAGTCCCTTTGCTGTACTGTTGTTAGCCTTCCTGTTACCTTCTAAAATTCTTGCTCTCTCATTTACGCTGACATTTTTTAACATGACCTAAAAATCGTTACAATAGCTTAGCTTTTCAAGTAGCTAACAGTCTTCGGTAACAGGGTGTCATTGCGTCCTTGCTTTCATCAGTGCATTAACTGATCATCTAGTTTCTGTCAGCCAGTCCACAATTTTGGCCCATTGAGCTGAAAGGGGTCCAGTTCTAGTCACCAGCCGATTTCTCATTTCCTCCCCAGTTGAAGAACCTTGATGAACAAGAAACCAGTTTGATTTTGCTTTGTGAATACTTTGAATTGTTTGTTTATTATTTGGACTCCATTTAGCTGTCATAAGCCTAACAACCACTCTTCCTCCCCTTTTACAAACCTTTTACATAAAACAACTACAGTACATTTGCATGTCTAAAATTGTAAGAAATACAATGAGAAAAAAAATAAAACAAGAACAGATATTTGATAAGTGTGAGCTATGATTTTTAGAAAGTAAAACATCCTTAACAGTTTCTTAAAAGACAATTTTCCAGATGCTTCCGTAACTGCAGGGGGCAGTTTGTTCCACTAAGTTAGAGTCCTGGGCCGTTAGTCAAATGTAAAACCCAGTGCAGCTTTATGCTGTGTAGTCTGAAGTTTAGACAAGTGTTTTTTAACTGCACCTGACCAAATGACAGAACAGTAATTTGGATTGGATAATACCAAAGACTGAACCACCAAGACTGGAAGCAGGGGTCAGAATTGAGGAACAGCTCTTAATACAAGACATTTTGACCAATTTCCTTTACAATCGAACTGACGTGTTTCTCCCATGTTCATAAACTATTACTCTGAGGTGCTTTACCTCTTTCACTTACTCAATTTCCAACCCCTTTATCACAATATGAAGCTTTATTACCAGCCTGATTTCTACATTTACATATTACATGTTGCATAATAAACCGTAGAGTCATCTGCATAGAGTTGTACTGCATCTTTAAAAGACATAAGGCCTCTCATTTATAAAAGCAGAGAAAAGGAACGGCCTCAGGCAAATGCCCTGTGGCACACATTGCTGTAGATATTTAGAGGAAGAGAAACTCCCCTGCAGGTCAATCTGTATGCAGATCATTTCTTTAGTAACAAATCAGGATCTAGTCAAAGTCAGCGCTAAAATTTGGAACAAAGTGAACCCACGATCATTTTGTTGTAGTGTTGGTTAGCCACCGGTCAGTAATCTTTGCCAATGCAGAACTAGTTGAGTGATTTTTCCTAATATCCATGCATTTAATTCACTAGCATTCAAATAATTTAACATCTGTGCAGAAACTACTTTTCCAATACTTTAAAAACTGAAAGGATGCTGATTGGTCTACTAGTAACTGCTGAAAAACCATTACTTTTAGTTTTCACAAGAGGAATTATTCTGGCGGATTTCGATGTTGGTGGAAAGATTCCTTGTGCCGGATGGTCCAACCCAAAAACTCGGTTGCTTTGTTGAGTGCAGAGCTTTTTAACGTCTAATCTGCACATGGGTATAGTTTCACTCCTGGCTGGATGCTGCTGGTGTTAGAGGGAACACTGTGATCACCCCCTTCACCCCACCTGGTACATTCTGATCTGTTGCTGAGACCTGCAGCCTCTCTGCCTGATTGGAAAACAACAATAAAAAATGATCATACCAGCAACAGTGGGTCTGATTGGCTCAGGTGTTTATCCAGTTATCAAACCGACCGTCATCTCTTCTAACTCGAGACCTGATCTCATATTTTCACCTCTGGCCTCCTACCAGCCGGCTTTACTTCCCTTCTAGATGGAACCTGTCCTCCGGGGTGCTTCAGCTCTCTAGCAGGCAGCTGCTTCTCACCGCTCTGGTTTAACGCCACTTCAGACACTCCTCTTCACCCTTAAATCCCAGAACTCTCTAAACATTTGCTAACTTTAAACCTGAAAGTTATAAATCAGTTTTGCAGCAAAGTGTCGCTGTAAGAGGCTGTGTCTGAGCGGACACCTCTGTCTGAAGCTCTCACCCCCTCCTTCCTGCTATAGTCACCCTCCCTCCCTCCTTCCTCCCTTCTATCTCCTCCAGGATTCGTTCTTTTTGTTGGTACTGATTTTAACAGTAAGTCAAACTGCAATCCTGCTTCTCTGTAGGCCAACAAAAGCACGATGCTTTCTCTCTTTCTAGACGCACACCCTAAATAACCTCACCTCCTTATTAATCACTTTCTCTTCCTTCCCTCTGTCTCCCCCTGCAGGCGGCTTCTTGGTATCGTCACAAAAAAAGATATCCTTCGTCACATGGCTCAAATGGCAAACCAAGATCCAGAGTCCATCATGTTCAACTGATCCGCTCCTTCCAAGACGGCTGGGGGGGAGGAGGAGGATGTAATGAGGAGGGGGAGCAGGAGGAGGAAGATGAGGAGGTGTGCCTCCTGAAGGGCACCGATCTCTGACATCCGGACCCTGTTTCTGTTTAGTTTCTTTTTCATTTGGCGTTTAACTCTGCAGGCCCCGAGCCTCTGAAAGACTGGCTGTGGGCGAAGAACGACGATGAGGACGCTGATATTGTCGTTTGGCTGCTGAGGACTCTGAAAAAAACGTTACTATTGAAGGCATTTGTTGTTTGTTTTTTAAACAAAACAGTTTTGCACTCACAGACACCTCAGACATGCATGCTGACTCCTAACACACACGCTCCAGAAACCCAGTAACGTACACCTGTTTGCACTCTTGTTGTGCCTGCCCTGCTGTCCTGTTAAAGCTCACGCCGCGGAGGGCGTGGTCATCATCAGACTGGGGTCAGGATGAAGCGCAGACGAGGGATGCGATGATGGGACCTCCAGGCTCCTGTGCTCCCCCTCCCCTCCATGGAACAAACCATCCGTCCTTCAAGAAAAACCACTTTGTTTACCTGTGAAGTATGAGTGAGTGTGTCTGCAGCGCCCCCACATTCCAGCCAGGCTCTGACGGGAACTGCACCTCATCTTCACTCTGGTCTCCCTGTGTGCAATGAGTAAAAAACAGAGGGAGGGGCTCAGATGGAGTTAATTAGTACAATATTTCAAGAACAAACATTAAGAATGAAAAGATTATTTCATTTTTTATTTGAGCTAATCGTTTGAGTGCAAATTTAGTCCATTTATAATAAGGCAGGTGAAGCGTGTGTTTAGAAGTTAAAAATGAAAAGCTGTGAGTTTAAATCCACACTACAGATTTATGAAGTCACCTCTTTTGTCTAAGAAGGAACATTTAAAAAACCTGATCTGAAAATAACCAATCACTGCTTGAAGCGTAAAGGTGGGCAGCATTGATTGGTAGATTTTTTTCCTTTCAATAAAACGGGTCAGAAACTTCAAAATACAAAAAGCATTTCAATAAATTGGAATAACACGCAGTTTGGACTATTATGGCTTACAGCTAATAGATAACAGAGAGGAAAGTGATCAGTACTTCTCTAAAATAACATGTTAATATCCAAAGCAAAATAATAAAAGTTAACAGAAACTTGAAATTGATCCTTTTGAGTGAGTTTTTGCATTAATGAAATAAAGGATCACTCTCTTAATCACTAAACCGATCTCTAGCTTGTGTTATGTAATAAATAATTAACCCAATTGTCAGTGAGGCAACAAGAAGCTAATTTAAGAAGAAAAGTAAATTCTCTAAAGTCTGCTGCTGGTCTTATTAGTGGAACTTAAAAGAAATCGGAGCCAGACGAGGCTGAATGACTGAAAACAGGATCTAACTGAAGGCTGCTTTTAATTCAGCTCTGCTAAATCTGAACGCACGTCCTTTGTGCTTCTCTGTTCGCCACGTCTTTCCTCAGACGTCTCACATTTCAGTTGGAAATTAGAAGAGGAGGCGGGTTAGATGAGGAAGTGGACGAGCGATTGGACATTACCTGTAGAGTGATTGGTGTGTGTGTGTGTGTGTGTGTGAGCTGTGGCTCAGCAGGGAGCAGAGCATCATCTCTATCAACCTGTGTTGTTGCCTAACGTCGTATTTCATACCGAACCCGATGTTTTTCTCCTTTATTTTATAATTTATGAGTAGTGTCAATACAATTGTGATTATTATCCTGAAAAATTTTATGTATGATTACGTTGTTTGATTGTACATTAAGAACAGAGACTATGTAAAGAAAAATAATGTTTTAAATTAAAAGGAGAAACTATTGAAGTTGCACACACGAGTCTCTGTGTGTTTGGTCCCACTTAAACTAAATCGTCTATGACCTTCACTCAAGATTTCTTCAAAAAGAGATTTAAAAATATATATATATATAATAAATGCAGAAGGCTGAAATACTTTGACATATTTTGTATCAGACCTTATATACTCTACCTTGAAGGATTCCTGTTCCTGAAGCTCCTCTCAGTTTTTGATATGAAGTCTTTAATGTACGATTCTGTTGGGATCGTACATTAAAGATTTTGTATGTGTGACAAAACAAAAAAAAAAATATGCATAAGTTTGAGATGAAAGGAAAATGAAGCATGGTTCAACATTCCGGCAACATGAGTGGAAGTTTGTTTTTACCTGACAAAATGTGAAGAGGTTCAGATGTTTTTAAAAGCTGCGCTGCCGCTTCATTCTGTAGGCCCCAACTCAAAAGTTTAATTCTACAAAAGTTTCTTAAATCGATATTAAATGTCTACTTTGGTTGGGTTTTTTTCCATTTAAATATATATATATATTTTTTTTTTTTCATCAGTAAAAGCTCTTACGTCTAGATTAAACCATCCTACACTAAACAGATATCCTTTTAGTGCGGATTAGGACAGGAGGGTCTTCCAGCTCAAAAGATGAATCTTTGGTGAACGCCACTAGCATCCCTCTGCTCACTGTGTTTTAACACAACTAAGCTAACCTAGTGTCTACATGCTGAGCACAGCTCATCCCTGGACTAAACCCGCCCCCTCAGGGTGTTACGCTCAACACATTGGTGGCATTTTTCCAGATTTCTTGTCAGAGGGGTTTATTTTATGGTTTTATATCAGGGTAAGTCGCACTTAATAGTCTGCAGGATTTAAAAACATCTACATATCCTCAATCTACCACTGAGCTATAACTTACAACTGCTACTTAAAGTAGCAGATGGTTACCATGGAGATGGGATGCAGACAGACATCACTAACTAACATCCCGGGGGAGATCCACTTGACCTGCTCTATACTCCACCCATCGGCGTCACCAGACCCCATTTACTGGGGCACGTGCCCCAGTAGAAATGAGCTGTGCCCCAGTATAAATCTCATGAATATTTGCAACAGTGATACATTTTTTTAATGCATCAATTTAGATAATGGGAGGAGACGTATATTTCTACTCAAATGCGTACATCCAAATTGAGGATGTATTAGCGCCCCCACGTCAGCGCATGTCACTGCATGAACTGCAGGTAAATTAACGCGCTGCTCTCAGCTGAGTTGATGGGACACTGTGCGGCGGCGACGCATTTTTAGTTCTGGTAACGTTTCTTACCTGTCAATTTTATTATTTTCCCAGTGAAACCACATGATTTATAGGCTACTAACTGAAAATTACTGGATATCAGGAAATTCCTCACACGAAGCAGAGACAGGGAAGCAGTAAAACAAGATGAGAGAGGGAGGTAAGGTCCCGTGATGAATTAGTGATTTAAGCTAACCAGTTACATTAGGAACGTTATAAGCAATATGATAGATATTTACATAATTATAAATTTACGTTTTTTAATGTTCGCTGTAGAGAATGAGAATGAAGGTGCTGGAGTAGGAAAGGGAGGAGGAGGCGAGACTGACGGGCAAGAGACAGGTGAAGGACAAGAGAGACAGGAGAGAGACAGGACCATGAAGGTGATGAGGGAGCAACAACCAGCTTCCACAAACAAGAAGGGGACATTTGTGACTTAGGGGGAAAGCATGATGGTCCTAGACAAGTGAAGTTGTCCCACCATCCCCAGGACAAATTTAGAGTAAAAAAAACGTTCATTTAATTCAAAATGGTTTGAAAGCTTTTTATAATTTTTATAAGCCTTGTCATCAAGGATATGCAGTGTGTTTTCAACTTGCTTGATAACATCATGTTCCCAAGACTAACACAGGTCATCCAGATCTCCCTCACAATCCCAGACTACAGCTGTAGTTGTGAAAGGTCATTCAGTGTGCTGAGAAGGATCCACACTTGGCTGAGGTGCACAATGGGACAAGACAGGCTCCATCATCTTGCTATTTTATCAGTTGAAAAGGAAGAACTTTCTAAGCTGAGTCACAGTCTAGTGATTGACCGCTTTGCAAAAATGAAAAATAGGAGGTACACTTTAATGCTCAAAAAATAAAAGAAAAACTTAGTTCAGGTTGAGTTAAACTTTCCCCTGAACTAAAACTCTAGGAATTAATGATTACTTCAGAATGTGTATAAGGAAACTTTTTATTTTTAAAGTTGGTAATGTCTTATTTTTTATAGCTGCAATGTTGAAAACGTTCATGTTTGTTAAAACAAATATGCTCTTACACTCATTAATATCTCAACTGGTAATTTTGGTAGGAATTTATCAGGGTGGGGCAGTGTGCTTGTCTGTATTTGTGTATGGAAGGAGGGGCATATGTGGTATGGGGGCCAGTGCCCCAGTAAAGCTTTGTGCCTAGCTATCTATCTATTTATCTTTAGAGTAAAAATACTCATTCCATTGTCAAATCCTCTTATTTACCGACTCAAATTACGGGTAAATAGACTTAAGAAATCTACCCATTTCTAGATTGTTTTTGCAGAGTATGCTTTTATTTCCTGGGAACTATAAAGTTACATAATGCCTTAAATGTCAAGATGCAACATTATTTTAACATTGTATAAGGTTTAAACCTACAATCACTGGATGATAAAAAAATAAAATAAAATTATTCTCACTTTTTCTAGATTGCTGCAGTGTGAAGTCTGTTGCCTTTCTCCACCTATAAATACCAATAACCAGTGGTGTGAAAAGTCCACACATTTGTTACTTAAATAGAAGTATAGATCCTGCAGTTTAAAAACACCGTCTCTTTACTCAAGTAAAAGTGAAAAAGTATGTGCTCCAAAAACTACTTAAAGTATAAAGTAACCTTAAAATTTACAGCCAGATGTCACTATATGAATTGAAAGCTAAATTTTTGGACTATTTCTAACAATTCTTTGAGATAGGGCCAAGGATGAGGGAGGTCTTGTTGGTCTCCATCTCCCGATACGCTCTCACCTGTTTCTGAGCTTTCAGACATTTCAACATCTTTTTCTGAATCCAACATTGTAGCATCGCATAGACAATTCATGTTTGCAGTTTGAAGAACACCTGTTTGCTTCTGATGATTTCCTTTATCTAACCAATGAATGTTTGCGTTTTATGACTCATCCAATTACACTAGATTTCACTAGACGTGGAACGTTTGTTTTAAAAATGTAAGGAATAGAAATTAATAGAATAAGTAGAAGTCAGAGGTAGGACGAAAAATAAGTAATGGAGTAAAGTATAGATACCTAAAAAGTGTACTTAAGTACAGTACGAAGTACTTGTACTTTTGTTACTTGACACCTTTGCCATTAACATGTAGCTAATGCATATAACAGCAGCTTGATCTTTTATATAAACGGAACCTTTTCCTCAAACATAACTCTAAAAGTGAAACTGATCAAATAAAAAAATAAAAGAGACTCCAAATTTTGTTCTTTTGTTTATCGCAGAGCACAGCAGTTTTATTTGATATTACAACAGAAAAGGAAAAAAAAGTAACAGAGACCTGAAGAGCACCAGCAAAAGCACAACAGCTAGTCTTAGCGAGAGACTGGAGCTTCAGGCAAGCGACGGAAAAAAACACTACAGCTCCTTTACGTCCAGGAACTAATGTCCATTGTCTTATAGCTAACTGTCCACGTCAACATGCAAGTTTACAGCAAAGCCTCTGCAGACGAATGACAGAGCTAAGATCACTGAGTTGGATTATAAAACAAAAACACTGAATGAGAAGGAAAGAAAAACAACCTGCCTAAGGAGAATTTGAACCACAGCACATGAAGGAACATTCTAATAATCTAGAAATAAAATATCCTAAAGAAACAAGCTGCACAGGGTGTGTCTCTAAGTAGGACTGTATGATCACAGATCCTCCATGTTTGTTTGCAGAAGCGTGTACAATCAGCTGTGGTTACGCAGAGCGGCTGAGAATCCTCGAGTGAATGAGGCAAAATGCAAAAACCTGAAGAATCTAAGAAACTAAAAGCTGGAGAAATCCTCTTCGCTTCCCCTTAAATAACATCGTCTGATACAATTCTCTGCTTATTACATATTTATTACTACCTCTTGTGTACATTCAAGCATGAAAATCCAAAGTGAAAAGTGTCTAAAAAGCCTCTGATTCTTGCGCCTTCATGAAATGTCAAAGGAACCTAAGAGATAACAGCCAATAAAAAGATGATTGTTTGGTTGGGTGTGTGATGGAGCTTTTAGTCTTTAGGTAGAGATGCATAGCGGCGTGTCGGAGCGCTGCTCCTGGTTCACTCACACATGGCTTTCATAGAACACCTGACAGGGAGGGCTGCTGCTGCTGCTGCTGACACTCTGCTCATCCACTGGAGCCTCCAGCAGCTCCTTCAGGGGCGCTGGGGTCAGCAGGATGGGGGAGGTCGGAGGGGAGGGAGATGGGGAGGGCTGCTGGAGAGCGTCGTCGTCCAGGGGGGGGTGCACGGACGCCTGGATGGCGATGTGGTGAGGCTGCTCGTGAAGGGAGGAGCTGTCCGAATCGGCGGCGGGGGACTCGCTGCACTCTCTCTCCCTCAGCTGCAGCAGAGTGAAGACGTCCCGCATCCCGATGGAGGGTATCCAGCCGTGCGCGTCGCGCCGCCATTCGGGAGCGTGCCTGACGAAGGTGTGCCTCATCTCCTCCACCCCGACCACCTCCAGGATCTCCTCCATGAAGGTGCGGCAGTTCATGATGAGCGGCGGCAGCGGGATGCTGCGGGCCAGCTCCTCGATGTAGCGAGCGAACTCCATGGTCTTGAACTGGGTCACCTTGGCCAGCTCCAGCGTCTTGGCCGAGGTGATGATGGGGATCCTCTTGGCGATCTCGAAAGCCTTCTGCAGCTTCTCAGCGCCCTCCGTGCGGAAGAACTCGTTGATGGCTTTCTCCGTCTTCTTCAGGTGGCTGCTCATCATGCAGAGGCGCGTGACGTTCAGGATCATGATGATGGTGAAGGTGACCAGACACACCACCATGTAGTACACGCCCATGTCGTCGTTGGTTAGGACCACCCGCAGCGTCACTGTGGCGTTGGAGGTGCCGTGGATGTTGGTGGCCATGCAGGTGTATTTGCCTCTGTCGGAAAATTTGATGCTGGTGATGTTGAGGACGCCGTTGTCCAGCAGCCACCACTTCCCCCCTGCAGACACACACACAGCACCATGACGACGAGGCAGAGCAGAAAAAGAACATTTTTCACTCAAGACGGCAGCAGGGAAAAATGGTTGGTTCATTTTTCAATTATTAGTTGTTTTCATACCTTTTGTTGACTTTGGTTTCCTGTTTTAGTAATGTTACTTGATCAAGGGTTTTCCAATACAGGGTTTATACAGGAATGAGGAACTTTTTAATGCTATTAGAAATAGATTTAAGTACCCATGACTCTCATTTATATATAAAAAACACGGCACATTCCTTCATCATCTTTACCGTCGACAGGTTGCAGCCATGTTCCGAATTCCTCGTTTTCACATTTTTTGAAATGTGCAATTTCCACCATTCTCTAGCTTTTTTTTATCCACCTCGAGCTTCTTTTCCGAACATACAGCTTTACGATCAACCGGAAGCAGTTATATCTCATATGATATATCTGACAAAATTATTTTATAAACTTTTTTTATTATTATTAAAGCATTTTAAATGCCACGATAATCACATTTAATGAATTTTAATGCCAATTAAGGCCTTAATTTAAACAATTATTTAATGACTTTTAATGACCTGCAGAAACCCTGTAATATCCTACGGTATAAAATAAGTAGAAAAGGCTGGTATGAGTCGTGGCAATATCATCTTGGGTCAATATCGGTATCGGACATTTCTACAAGCTGCCGTATTGATATTGAAAAAGTTGCATAGGGACACCCCTATTAAGTCATTTTATTTATTTAAGTTATTTATCATCATCTATGAACTGAAAGTCTCAATCTCTATGTTTGTGTTGCCTTAGAAATTGTTATTTATAATTGCATAGGTGCAGGTCTCACAATTATGGAGCCCGAGCAGCGCTACGGCATCTCAGAGCAGACAAACTAGTGAATGTAAAGTCATTTTGCTCTAATGTGACAGCAGCAGTTAGGCCGATATAAAATCTATATCCTAAACAGATTAATAAAATGTTATTCATAAAATGATCTACATAAACAAACTTTGTTATTATTGATAAGATAGGTGATGCAGACGTTGTGGAAGCAGGTTTGAACTAAGATGGCCTTCATGTTGGTGGAGGGGGACAAGCAGTGGGGGAAGCTGTTCATGACGCTGCAGTCTGACCATTAGACGCCGTCACTGACGCACCGTAGCTTTAAGAAAAGAGGACTTAAAGTTTCTGGTCTATTAGATAAATGCCCAGCCGAGCTACTTAAAGCAACTTGTCGCATTGGATTAGGGCTGAAACAATCAGATTATTGAGATTAATTGATTATTGAAATAATTATCAACTAATTTAGTAATCGATTAATTGGTAACTGGAGTATAGAGACTCTAAAACACGCCTTTAGCTAATAGAGCGACTCACTTAGAGCAGCAATATGTGTAAACATTTTACATTTAGGATAAAAAAAATGTTTTCTATCCAATACTCCTGAAGTGGAAATGTTTTAGTTTCACTTGGTTTTATTTTGTAAAAAATCTTTAAGGAACCTTTGGCTATCTGATTATTATTCGAATAATCTAAAAAAATAAATAGACAGATTAATCAATTTGCAAAATAATCCTTAGTTGCAGCCCTACACTGGATTATATTGATAAAGGCTGACATAAAGCAAACCACAGTTTACAGATTTGAGCTTGATAAGGGAAACAAAAAGCCATACCACATAAAAAAAGACTGTTTTCCCGTTCATTTGTAGAGAAAACCTGTAGCTAATCACATGTGGAGCAACATGTGGGGACAAGCAGGCAGCTGCAGCAGTTTAAACAAGTATTTACAGAGTCTCAAACATATCCAGCCTACAGGGCGCAGCCTGATTGTTTGTTTTGTTCTCAATTGCTGCTCATCCAGTCAATGAGATGCTTATTTTCACTGATAATCAGAATGTTGCCTGTGAGCAGATCACTGGAACGGCTCCAGATATGGCGTTTTTTTTCCACTGGAGGGGGTAGAGAACAGGATCGATGCCCCCCTCTCTGTTAGATGTTAAAGTGACAACCAAACAGCCCGGGACATTAAGTTCTCCGTCTCATAGCATTCCTGTTCGGTGGTTGCAGCATTTTGTTCCTTTCTGGATCAAATTCTCCTCGCTCAGAATCTAGCTGAGTGGGAACAGATATCAGAGGAGTTCCATCAACCCGTCTGATACGTTCTGCTCCACTGCAACCAATGATTTCACCAGACTTTGTATCGTCAGCATTTCCTACTCCTAAATGAGTAGGAAATGCAAGCTAACTCCATCCCGCCCATCCGCTTTTCAAGGCCGCTTTTCTAATTTTATCTCCTCTGTCGCCCCACATGACCATAATAATGTGCTGCCTAATGCTATCAGCAAGGTTTACTGAGAAAATAACAAGGTCAGGGAATAAAAGCAGGATTTTAGAAGCAGTGTTCCTTAAAAAATAAACATTGTGATGTTTACAGCATTTTTACTTATTGTGTAACCCATGGGGATTGGGCTCTGAATTGTGCAGCTGCAGTTCTGGGTTTTTGGGTCACAATAACATGAATAATGACTCCTCCTTTGTGCACGTTATAACAGGTTGGCGCAGAGGCACCACATAAAATCTTTCTCCTTTCCACAGCGAGTCTCAGCTCTACAAAGAGGAGTCAAGAAAACAAGTTTGTTCCTTGTATTGTAAGACTTCCTGTTCACTGAAGCTCCAAAAAGGTCTAAATGTATCAAAAGATGCAGAAACTGTGACATAATCCTCACTTTATATGAATCCCTTTGACCAGATTATTTGTTTTTTCAAACCTCTGACTGTCTTTTGTTGTGTTTAGGCAGAAATAAATACCTCCTTTTCTTTTTCTATGCTATACTATTAGATCCCTGTCTATATAATATGTCACCCTACTTTATTTAGTGAGACCTAAATGCTAAAAGAAACTTTAAATATATGTAGACATTTTCTAAAATGTCTCTATTTTTTTCCTTTCTTGATCAATATTTAATCTTTTATAAAACAAGCAGATGAGCAGAAGAAAAAGAGCAGTCGCTAAAGACGGGGTTTTGCTGATAAAGGCTAATCATCATACAGTTTAGCATCTTATAATAGCAATCAGTGTGGCTAGTAACACTAACATAACTAAAACATTTGCTTTTACAAGGACTTCTGAAAAGCTCCAATGTTTCCAGATTCAACACAGCCTTCCTGTTATCTGCCTGAAGTCTTATTCTCTCTTATATGTCAAAGAAAACACAGAGGTTTATTATTAAATGCCTTGTGTATGTTTGCTTGTCCTTAATATTTAAGCATGTCAAGTTTTAGCTCAGCATAATGACTGGAACAGATGACGAATTTTAAGGTCCTGCATATAGCCAGTTTGTATCTGTTACATTAAATCGCAGAAAAAGGTATTTAATTGAGCAACGTTTTTCCTGGAACTAGGTTCGCTCAGTATACCGGTACTAATTTGGTACCGAGGTACTGTTATATTTAAAATAATGGGAAATTGCAGCGCTGCTGCAACACGTGCAAAGCTGCCGCGAATCTTGCAGGATTCTAATATAATTGTCTTCCATTAATATAAATCTCTGCTTGGAGCGAGAGAGCAGTATTTTAACATTGCGGGCATAAAAAAAAGCTCATCTGTATTTATTTACTGACTGACCTGTTGTCGTTCTAAGATATTTTTAATTAAAAGTCAGTAATTATAATTTTTTACTTTTTATTTGAAAAAAAGTAATGAAAAGTACATACAGGAATGGAAATACATGTTGGTACCGATACCACAATGTTGGTCCGGTGACAACCCTACCCTGAACTAACAAAACAAAGTCTAAAAATAAAAATGTTTTATTTTCCCTCTATCCAATCCAAAAACTATTCGTAGACAACTTTTTCCATTTCTGATGCTATACAGATTATTGATTCACACTGATATTGATACAATATCAGCTCAAATACATCGTTTTATTGCTGGGTTTGGAGTTTGGAACGTTAGAAAAGGCTTTAGAAATGATATCACTTAAACTATCAAGAATAGGAAGGAGAGGAAATAGCAGATAGAAGCAAAGTGTTTCTATCAGTAGATGGAAGCTGATATATTTTTGATATTCATTTCCTTGATATCAGAACAATTTACATTATAAATATCGCCTAAAACATTCCTACCATAAAGCTAAAAACCAGATTCCAGACTTTTAAAGGATTTGCATGAATTTCAAACTGTCAACAAGGATCTGAAGCTCTTAGCTGCACCATTTCAAGATGTGAAACCATGTGGTTTCAGCTGAGAACTCCTGAACACTTCCTCTTATTTTGGCATTAACTGGGTTGGGTCTCAGTAAGTTATAACCAACGAGCAGGGTTGAAGTAGCTAGGAGTCTTCCTCACCGCTCGCCTGCGTGTCCAGGCGCTCCCCATGGGAGTTGAACCAATCGACGGTGGGGAATGGGTCTCCGGTGACGTTGCAATCAATCACCACACAGGTCCGCTCTCTGGCGATGATCTGGCTCACTTTGGTGAACACCACTGGGAGGAAGCCGATGCCTTCTGTCACGTTAGTATTTTCTGTGCGGTTTCCATCCGTGTCCAACGACGACACCCCGGCAGAACAAGAAGCGATAAGAGACGCCAGGGCTAGAAAAATGTATCCACCGTTCCAGAACATTTTCTTTGTTAAACGTTGGTGTGAAACCCGAAGGGGAAAGATGGCGTGTCATTCCACCTGGGGCTCCATCCTGCAGGCTGGCTATCTCTTGATAGAGGAAGGCAGTCTGGTATTCAGCCCTGTGAGGTGAAGCATCTCACTGCAAAAAATAATGAACATCTGTTAAACGAAGGATATAAACCAGTACAAATACGTATTAGTAAAAAGGGTAAAAATCCTTTAACATAAATAATATTTTATTGCAGTGGCAAGTTTTTTTGAAACCCAACATTAGTGAGAAAAAATTAGAAAAAAAAACAAGAATAAAAACCTGAGTTTGAACTGATCAGGAAGCCATAAAATTCCTTTAAAATAAATGCAAATTAAGCCCGATTTTTAAGATAAGAGCATCTCTGGCACGTTTAATTAGTAATCCATATGATCTTGTTTTCTTCTGGGTTAAATATTTTTCTCCAACAGTTGCTCTCTGCACAGCTGTTTACAATGAGGACAAAAAGGCTCATCAATCCTGCCACGAACAATGTAAACATATGAAGTGCCCTTTGGTGAAAAGGGACTAAAGGGAGCTTTTCCACAACAAACAATTTGGCCAGTTTCAGAGAAAAGAATGAATAGATGATTAAGTATATCTTTCCAAGTTTTAAGTATAGGGCAAATCTCTCTTGCTGTTCTTTGTTTCTCTTTTAAACAGGTCTTAGAAATGTTGATAGAATGCAGAACATAATGGATTCTCAACAAAAATGTTTATTATCGCTGAGCAAGATAAAAATCCTTATTTGGACAATCTAGATGGGAGGATGGTCAAAGATCCCTCTCTCTGCACTCATAAACCATAAAAAAACTTTGTGGGAGAAGTCTTAGCTGTCATATTGGCAACAGATGGCTGTAAAAACATTTACAGCAGGAAAGGCAGGAGTGATTTTAGTCAAAACAAACACTACTTTACTGAATCGCTTCCTTCCACTCAATAAATTAGTCAAAATATCAGATTTTTTTTTAAATTTCAGAGCTTTTTATCAGTGCAGTAAAACATTCATCCATTTAAATTCATTTTACACAATTTTACCAAATCAATAGCAGCAGTAGAGAACCATACATCATTAAATGAGATTTACTTTTTAATTTAAGAACAGCTACAATGATGACAAATACTTTACTTAAAGCTCTAGATATCAGAATATTTCCAACTATCTTTGTAATGGTAGCTCTAAAATGTATACTTAGAGGAACACATAAGAGCAGGAAGACATTTTGAAAACAGGAAAGAGCTGTCATCTTTTTATAAGCATTTAAAAATGTTAATAAATGAGCTAAAAGCTAATCAATAGGTGGAGATAAGTGGTGGCAGGGTCACCTCTACCTATACATATGTTGTCCTTGCTGTTTAGATTACACAACAGGTTGAGGTTTGCCATTTCCTGGCCCTGCCGTAGACCAGTTTTACCAGCCTGCTTTAACTAAACATGTTAGCTATGGTAAAGCTATATAGCAAAAACGATGAACCGGAATAAACCGGATTTAGGCTAAAAATCGGCAGCATTACGAAACGAACGATAAAATAAAAACTCAAAGTATTAAATTATAGTTACATTCGTTTATGTTAAACACTGCAAGCAACTGTTTTCAATTTTTATTTTCGTAAATGTCGTCTTTCTGTACTAGCTTTGATATTTTGCTCGCTTATTAATAAGACAGACGGAGCCACATAACGGAGCAGTATGGGCTCCGTCTATTTACCGGATGGCTACGCTGACACACATTTGTTGCTAGGTTTAGCCAGTCAGAATACACTTAATAAAAATTAGGTCAGGAAACAAAATATGTGTTTTTTTTGTTCAATCTAAGATACATTTTATAAACTAGCGTCACCTTTGCTAAACATAGCGGCATCAGGGCGTGGGAAGCGGCTATGTGTTGGCTAGCGGTTATATATCATGGCAGCCTGTGTGTCACAGCGAGCAGATGGCAGAAGCAGCTCCCATACTCACCTAAAAGGCGCAGTGTGTTTTTTTATTTTTTTATTTATAAACCTGAATGTGTCGGTGCCTGTCTGAACTGGGGTGTAATTATTAGCATAGCATCGTAGCGTTACCTCCTCTACGGGCAGCGAACGGTCCACAGCAAGCGGCCAGCTCAGCATCGAATGCAGCCCCGGTTAACCACCCGAAAACAGCCACAAGTTCCGCACCTCCCCGATGAGAAACCCTTCGTTTGGATACTTACATCATTTTCCGTGAGCCATGTATGCTTGAGAACCTGCTGGTGGAGGATTGGAGAAGACTTATTTGTTCTCTGGGTTCTCCATCCTCCTCCTTCCGCTGCCTGCTGATCTGGAACCAGCAACTGCACCGAGCGAGGGGGAGGAGGGAGGAAGGGGGCTGCTACTGGGAACTATCAACTCCCTCTCTAATGTAACTTGATATACCATAAAAATACAGATTAAATTTACCTCTAGGTTTCAGGGGCATAAAGAAAAATGGGCACATACACCTGTCCAGGACCGAGTTTTGGATGCTATGAGGGCACAGAATGTGTTTTAGCAGGCAATTATGGCTTTAAAGGGGCCCTAGCCTAGGTTTTAATTACTAGCGTTGTGGCTCCAAAGAAGAGGGCACGTTGAGATGAGTATTGGCCCCGGAGAGTGAACTTTAACATACATTTTGGCCCCGGAGAGGGAACTTTAACATGCATTTTGGCCCCGGAGAGGGAACTTTAACATGCATTTTTTTGCACCCAAGGGGGCATGATGATATGTTTTGGCTCCAGAGAGGCCACTTTGACATGCGTTTTGGACCCTGAGAGCGAACTTTAACATGCATTTTGGCCCCTGAGAGTGGACTTTAACATGCATTTTTTGCACCCAAAAGGGCATAATAATATGTTTTGGCTCGAGAGAGGCCACTTGAACATGCATTTTGGCCCCTGAGAGTGAACTTTAACATGCATTTTTTGCACCCAAAGGGGCATGATAATATGTTTTGGCTCCAGAGGGGCCACTTTAACATGCATTTTGGCCCCTGAAAGCGAACTTTAACATGCATTTTGGCCCCTGAGAGTTAGCTTTAACATGCCTTTTTTTGCACCCAAGGGGGGCATGATATGTTTTGGCTCCAGATAAGGCACTTTAAAAAGCATTTTGGCCCCTGAGAGTGAACTTTAACATGCATTTTGGCCCCTGGGAGTGGACTTTAATATGTATTTTGGCCCCTGAGAGTGAACTTTAACATGCATTTTGGCCCCTGGGAGTGGACTTTAATATGTATTTTGGCCCCTGAGAGTGAACTTTAAAATGCCTTTTGCAACCAAGGGGGCACCATATTATGTTTTGGCTCCAGAGAGGCCACTTTGACATGCGTTTTTGCCCCTGAGAGTGAACTTGAATTATGGCTCCCAAAAGCGTACTTGAAAATGTTTTGGTTCTCAAGAGGACACTTAGGCATAATCACTCTTTTTGGCTCAAAACTCAAGACATATGTTCACTTCAGGGTGGCTTTTAATACATAGTAATACATAATACATAGCAGTGTTTGCAATAATGTGATATCTAGTAACTGTTAAACCAAATGGAAGTAACATGCTGCATGATGAAAAGGCCCCAGAAGAGGACTGCTTTGTTTCTGTATAACAAAAATGACAACTGGGAAGAAAAGCACCTTTGAAAGGAGACCAGGTCAATATATTTCAGACGGTTATAGACAGAGACAGCCTTGAAGCTGCAGTGTGTCTTAAAATCAGCGCTATGCACCAAGGCCAAAGCACAGCAGACAGTCAATATATGCCTAATCTAATCGAGAACATCAATTCAAGTTAAGAGTTTGAAGGTCTGTCCAAATTTATCTGAACTTTAGCCTCTCTGTTTGGCTGTTGAGCTTCCAAAAGGAAAAACTATTCCGTTAAACAGAGATTATCATATCAGTTGTGAGAATTGTTTTTTTCTTCCAACTCAATAAAAACAAGAGTTTAGTTGTTTTATTATTTCCTGATTTTTCCTGACTGCCTGGTACTTCGAGCAGAACTTTTCTCCTCTGGGTAAAGAAGGCTTATTCTGTCCACAAAGCTGCCGGTGTTGCAACGACTGTATTTCGTCTTGGCCACTCTGACCCCATTACCCTTCACAGATGAAAGCTCCTGCTGTACTCAAACACTCCAGAGAGCTCTGTCACTCTGTAATACAAAGAAATCTCATCTGAGCGCAGCAGGGAGGACGTCTGTACAGAGAGGAGGAAAACAGTCAACAGATGGACGCTGTTGTTCTCAGCAGGGACCGTTATGTGATCGTCAGCCATTCAGGCTTTAAAAGATGCAAGAAAACGAGCCACAGATGACTCTCCTACATTAACAGTCCTGCGTTTGGAAAACTAAACTACTGGTTACACTTCTGCAGACTAGTAGATGAGACCAGTACATGTCTAGTAGACTAATGCAGCATACAGAAATCAGTGCTTACCATGGAGTGAGATTGGTTGGTCCATCCTAATGCTCCACAGCCTCGGTGACACAGCTGCTGACACCTGTCTTATGTGCATGTTCATTATGGAAAGAATTGCATTACTAAATAAATTCAGTGGCTGCTCCAAAGATCTTTCTCTGCAGCCTCCTACATTTTTGTTATGCATACAAACAAAATCTGAATTTCTCTCACTACCAAAGTCAACAATAAGGTGGATAATGAATATTTGTTATGCTATTCTATTAAAACATTTAAAAACACGTATAAATCATCATGTAGCATGTAAACTGTTAAAAGTTCAGTGTCCCCCCCCCCCAGATCTAAAAAAACTAAATTCAGTAAATTTATTATGAATTCACCAATGTAGTGAGGTAAATGAATAATAAATGACCTATAATTAATCACTTAAATTACACACACCAAAGGATTTTTACTCATATTTTTTTCTTGTATTGTATATAAGTCAAGCAAAACGTTGAATATGAACTAGTAGGGGAAACATGTTTTTGCAAAAAAAACCCCAAAAAGTATCCAAATAGGGGCAAAATAAAGTAGTAGTTATTCATAGAAATCATCAGTTGAATATAAAAGCACAAACATGACCAATTGAGGACGTATATTTATATAACAATCATTAATGGTTGCCCCAAATGCTATATAAGCTGAAAAAGGCCCCCTATGATATGATGATAGAAACACTGAAATGACTGGACTTTAAATTGTACATTATGTAGCGCCAAAATGACAGAAAAAAATGAAAAATGCATTTAAAGTAATTTTAATGGCCTTTAAAGAACATTCATTGGAGCTGGACAGTAAAACCACATTATATTTTGACAGTTTAAATGATTGAAAAAAACTACAAAATAAGTAATGTGATTAAAAAAAAAACATATTGAGTATTATCTATAGAAAATACACTACTGATACAGTACCGGTACATTTTTATGCATTTAAACATTTCTTTAATATAAAATTCATTTTTAATTCCAACTGGTTGTCCATCCATCCATTTTCATTCGCGCTAAATCCCAGTTGGGGTTGCGAGGGCTGCTGGTGCCAGCTGTCAATGGACGAGGGGCGAGGTACACCCTGGACAGGTCACCAGTCAATCACAGGGCAACTGAGGAAAACAGGACAAACAACCACTCAGACACATACTAACACCTAAGGGCAATTTAGAGAAGCTAATTAACCTAACAGTCATGTTTTTGGACTGTGGGAGGAAGTTGGAGTACCTGGAGAGAACCCTGAATGCTCAGGGAGAACATGCAAACTCTATGCAGAAAGACCCCGGGTCAGGAATCAAACCCGGAACCTTCTTGCTGCAAGGTAGCAGTGCTACACACCATTACAATAACCACATTTTAAAGAATACTAACTTTGATGAAAAAGTATTAATTTAAATTGCTATGACCTTTAAAGGGGTAGCCGTTGACCCCTAGATTTAAGAAGTATGCTGAGACTGGGTAAGAAGTAAAGCCTTCATTTGAACTTTTTATTCACAAAGCTTTTTACATTAACATTTATTGTAGTTGGTTACTTTGGGTTTACAGACTCCCCGGTGGAAAAGTCGTTTACATTTACCGGCTTCCATATCACACCCAGATACATAATTGGCCAGGTTTGTGTCTTTCAGCCATTTCTATGAAAAGATTATTTCCCCTCTCATAAATCCATTTGTTTATATCCCTGATGAGCTGCAGAAACCATTAAAATAAGGCTAAAGCCCTGCCTTCCCTTCTAACACAGGAGGTTTACATATGAATAAAATGATTTCATTCCACTTTGGTTTAAATCCAATGTGATGTATCATCACTTTACATGTAAACTTGACAATAGTGTCATATAATAAATAAAAATCTGAAAGAGGATGGAAGCTCTGGTCACAAAGCATCTTTGATGAGCAGAGAGAGTCTTCTGAAAGCCTGTGGACAGAAATGTGAGAGATGACAGTCAGGTTCTTAATGAAGTCTTTTTCTTTGTTTTTACAGCATGGAGTGAGTCTGTGTACCTCGTCGATCTGCTCCGGTGTGGAGAGGGAAAAGGCCGCTCTGGCGTAGGGACATGAGTCGCCACTGTTGATCATAAAGACACCTCCGGGAACCAGAAGCACCTTTAGGAGCAAATAATTAGAAAAGCAGCTTAAACTTAGTAAAAAAAAAAAAAAAACGTAAAGTAAACACAGGAGGAGCGGTTTCATTTAAGTTACAAAGGTTTTTGTTTTTTTCTTCTTCACAAAATCAGTCCTGAAATACTATGCAACTGTCTATCATCTTTCTATTCAGATGGAAAACTCAGGTTAAATCTTGAATTGTGCCTCATTTAGCAAATTTACCACCATGAATTTATTTGATATAACAAGAATTTGGGCCGCATGTCTCTCCCCCTCTCTCATATCCTCTTTCCTGTCAGCCTACTGTCAGAAAAACAAGCCACTAGTGCCATAAAAAAAAAAAAAAAAGTTAACAATAATTTGCTTAGATTTCAACAAATATGACCTTATTTTATAACTGCCATGTAACTCACTGTCTGGGGACTGTGACTGCTATAATCCAAATCAGACTTCCGTTAGCATAGCTCATACTGTCATTGCAACATTTATAAAGAATATTGCACATCGGATATTTTTCTAATACTGTTTACTCCCAAATAAACTATGCTTGAGTAAAACTACTCGCATCTCCAATCAAAGGATTTAGGAGTCCCACTAGGATCAGTTTTAGGGCCTGCAGTTTTGATCTTAATGACCTCCAATCTATATGTAAAAATCTTAATGTAACACTGTATGCTGATGATCCTGTGTTTTATATCCGTACAAAAACTACACAAGATGTTGGCAGGATAACAATTAAATGTAACTGGTTGTTTTTTGTTTATTTTCCCCTCAAAGTTTCTGTTATAAAAACAATTTTAAACACATTATTGTTAACCTTGATCCAACTTTAAGACATAAGTACTTCCTCAGTATGGAAGCACCAATCAGATATTTCCATTGTAATGATTATTTTATACTTTTTCCCCCCCACTGTTTTATAAGCCGTTCCAATGAAGGGAAATAACCTTTGGTTATTTATTTAGAAAACTTAAGTTTATAATAGGTCTTTAGTGTAACTGGAGTATAAGTAAAAATATTTAAAATTGTTGAACACATTTCTTTTTAATTTTCAGCTTTTTTTATGCTGTACCTTCATTTCACAGTAATTTGACAGAAAAGAGCGCAGAGAAAAGATGGAGACCAACGTTTTCCATATTTAAATAAATCAGTGACTTATTCTAATGTATAGACTTTTCATTTTTCTCACCCTGGCATTATATCAGAGAAGTGGCCTTCATGGGCTGCTGTGGGAGTGATTGCATGGGTTTGCTGAAAGGTCATTTTGTTTGTGGGAATTTTTATTGTTGTGATTCTAGAAAGTGTGTCACTGTCTAGAGCTTTCTCTGAACAGATCTTTTGTATCTCCTTATATATATATATCTCCCAGGACTCCAAGGGAAAAGTAGAACATTTGCAGCAGCATAGAGGATGTCCTCATTTGAACTACCTTTTAAGCTTAATGTATTAACTGTGGATTGTTCCTAATTAAACAGATATGCACCCAATCTAGTTACCCAATTATATGCAGACAGTGTGAGGGCTTTAAACAGCCAGTATGAAGAAGAGATGGCTCCCTGTGCAAAGAGCTTGGAAAAGCCTGACTGCGCCCACTCATGAACAAAGCCAGTTATTCGTCATAAGGGTTTTACACTGTGTCTATGTGGGAGGAAACACTGACAATGTGCCTTGGGGCTGCTTCGCATACACCTACCCACGCTCCTCAGAGAGACTAAATCTGCCACTGGCCTAGGGAAGCACATTTTTTAAAGGCACAAAAACGTTCAGGGAAGCTGCAATATGCATGCTAAGAGCTTGGTAGCAATGGAGCAGAGTCAGGTCAGCTGTCGAGGTCTTAACTGGAGAAAAAACATGTGTACTGTGTGTACCGACCTCCTTCTCCAAGGCTTTCTCCATGATGAGCTGCTGGGTATCAGCTATGCCCTTCAGTTTGATCCACAGGAACATGCCTGCTGACGGGGCGTGCCACTCTGCCACATCTGCAAACACAACCGCAGAGGGAGTCTTTGTGTGCCGCCTTTCAGGTCTTTTATCTGACGTCTTTAATAGGGCGTCACATTTCTCAGAGCAGAAAATCTGCCCAATAAACAGTAAAACAAGATATTTTGTTTACTTCCTGTCAACAATGATTCACCCAGATTTTTTTTTTTTTTTTATTACTCTTGGCGGGTGCCTTGTTGACTTGTTGAAACAGGACGGATTGCTGCACAGAACCATCTGGGACAGTTTGTGCAGGGAGGAAAAACACAGAAACTTCAGGGAAAGAATTTTGCATAAACCACGTGAACATGCTACATGAAACATGAGAGCAGTCAAATGCGTAAGCGTGAAGAAAAAGAAAAAAAGTCAAATTTTTTAACTTTTTTGGCATATTTGGCCCATTTTGTGTGTCATTTAATCTCAAAGATCTTTACCAATATTCGGTAAAGTCAAACTCTTACTTGAAGGGCTCACCGCAAACAAGTGAAAGATGATCTGATCAGATGAGAACTAACCTAAATGTTCTACATGCATGCAAAAAAAAAGACGGCGGTGGCACGTCCAATAAACAATAAATATCTTTAAATCAATAAACAATTATATCTTTAAATGTAAAATTTTATTGAAAACTGGTAGCGGATAGATTACCACCCAGAACAAGTCTTTAAATTTGGAGGACCTCTTTACCATTACCCTAATTTTCATACTATGGGAGACTAGGATGTTCTCGTGTTTGGACCATAGCATCAAAAGCCTGATTTTCTCTTTTTAGAAATAGAAAATGTAATTTAAATCCAAGATAAACAAACTTCTAAAGCAGAGGTCCTCAAAGTGAGGGTCGTGGCCTCCTAGTGGGTGAAGAAGGTACTGCAGCAGGGTTGTGATATTTTTTTCCATCAAAATTACAAAAAATAGCGGCGATTTATGGGAAAAAAAGTTCTGTTATGTGTTACATAAACAAAAGTACTAATGGTTTGCATTAAGAACTAAAGTTTGGAGTAAATCCTGATTTGTTTTGTTGTATATTTTCAGGCAGAAATGAGTCCTTAAACCCTCTAAACAGGTGAAATCATCTTTGTCAGCAACTCATCCCTCCGTCTGATGGTAATTCCTTTGTCAGCTCCCATAAATCAGTTTAATTTTTTTTTTCAGCCTTAAAATTTTTGGTATCTGACAGATAATTATATCTTTTAATATAACATTTCATGTTGGTGAAAAATTACCACCCTGAACAAGTTAAAGACGGAGAAGGACCTCCCTACCATCACCCTAATTTTTAGCTTCCAGATTTTAACTAGGTTTAAATTTAGGATTCAGAACTCAAAGTTACTTCCAATCACAAGAAACACGTTAAAATAAAATATTATTTAGTTAAATCCTAAATAATATTGGGCTTAATTGTATTGCTTCCATTAGTTTTAACAACCTGAATTCCCCATGTCACCCAATAAGCGAAGAAACTGAAATTTACCATGTGCACAGCTTTTAAATCAACATCTCCAAAACTCCGGTTATTACTGCTGAGTGTTTTCTTTTTAGAGGTCCACTGACCTTTGAGCCACCTGTCAGCTGAGCTTATCATTGCATCACGCTGCTTCCTGTAGAAATCAATCACCCTGCAAGGACAGAGGAGGGCGCTTTATGAGTATAGAGTTTTCATCTTATTAATGTTGTAGAGCTTCATCAGATCTAATTGTGTCCCGAATGGGTCAGACCAGTCATGCAGGAAGAGTCGTACCTGTCTATGTGCGTGAGGAAGCCCTCTTGTCCCCAGCTGTGCAGCAACTGAGACACCATGAGCTGGAAAGAGAGAAAAATCCTCCTGCATATCTGTTAATTTCCCTCACCATCGTAAAATAAACCTTTAGAATCATTTTTCCGCCTAAAACTAATTAAAAACACAATAATTATTTAATCCTATAGCATATAAAACGCCTTCTGATGGCTTTCCTCTTGGACCTCATCTCCAAATGCCACATTTCTTCAGCTGATCTCTGCAGCTCCTCCAGAAGCATCATGGTAATGATGTTAGTCAGAAGCCACACTTTGGCTTTCTTCATATTCCTCCCCATTTAACTGCACCTACCAGGATTATCCAGCTTTTCCAGACAGCGAAGGTGTGGTAAACTTGGCTGCAGCTGATGCCAAGTTTCAATATGTGCAAAAGAGGCACGCCTGAAAGGTGGGAGCACTGCAGCTGGCTGAGCTTATTAGAAGATGGCGCTAATCTTAACGAAGCTTCAATGTAGCCGGAATGTGTCCTTGAATTTGGTTAAGTGTTGTAATACAAACGTAAAGCTAAGGAAAACCTCCTTTCTTTGGCATCCACTAAAGAAGGATGGTTCTTAAAAAGTGAGGCGTTTCTAAAGCTTCGCTCACCTGTGTGAAGGTGCTGGTGTGCATGGTGGAGGCCTGGATGTGCAGCACGATTCTATCGACCAGAGGTTTGGGACCCGTGACAAAACCGATCCTCAGGCTGGAAAACAAACGGGAAAAATGGAGCAAAGTGAGAAATCGGGCCTTTAACTCACAGTAAAATATCAACCTAGTAAAATCTTAATCAGAATTAAGCTTGCTTGGACAAACTATGCTTCAAAAGAGAGGTTTCTATGAACCTATTAGATTAAAATAATGCTGAAAATGGCTTCCAGGGTGGAAAAGCACTATTTTATTGCTTTGTGGCATATGGACTGATTTAACACCTGGATTTTGGTAACTTAACCAATTTACCAGTCTGCATGCAGATTCTTAAAGTAGTTTAAAGCTGTGGTAATTTTTTTTTATTCCTAAAACTGTATTTACAGCTTTATTTGGCATTTTAGACTCAGTTTATAAACAACATGTTTAGTTTTACCTAAATTTAAAGTTGTATTTTCTAACAATTAGGCAGAAGAGTTATTTTAAAGATTTCTAAACGCAGATAAATCAGCAGACCTGCTATTATTAGACTCCTTTTTAAGAAAATGCAATAAATGTCTGAAAAATCCAACATTTTCAATGTTACATTTCCTTCTTGCCTTAAGCTGAAATAGACAATACAAGCTAACCCTACCCTGAGATTAGGAATCTGTAGCTGAATAAAGGTAAAGAAAAGTGACATGTAAGGATGGGTTTATATATTATTCTGCTTGTTAAATATCTGAAGTTAAAGCTGGAGCTTTAACAGCAAAGGTATAAACAGATTATACAGCACCACCGCTGGCATCTAGTGATCCTAAAGTCAAACTATCTTCTCTGTTAATCGTTGACTTCAAAATACAGAACCCTGAGTTATTATTGCCAATCCTGGTTATAACCTTAGAGAAGTTAAATAAATTCAGCTTTAAACTTCTTAAAAATCTATTGAGTAGGTAAAACCATGAAATGAAGAATATTTGATCTTAACACCTTTGTAGTAACTTTTTGCAGCACTAAAACTCAAAAGGAAAAAAAGGAATTCCAGCATATTTTTGTATCCTGTTTTAAATTTCTTGTTTTTTAAATCTTTGACATTGTAATTTATGACTTTCTGTTCCCATGGGATATAAATTAGATAATCTTAATGATGGGAAGGAAAGGAAAACATATCATGTAAGGTAGATGTTTTTTGATTTTCCTCAGAAATAAGAAAAAAAAAAAAAAAAGCTCTCCTGGATATAAAACCAGATCAACAGGAGCTGCGATACAAAAAAACTCCCAGTGAAGACGATTAGACCAGGATCCACAACCAGTAGCAAAGTTTTTGTGGCTTTTTTTTTTTTTTGCTAAACTCTAGCCTGATAAACCAGACTTAATGTGACATTAAATGTGTAATTTAGTCTGGCCCCAATGAATGAGACATCGGAAGATTGTTGATGAGAAAAACCTGTTGTTTTTCAAACCATGTCTGCCTATTAGCCAACGCTCTGACCAATGAGCGTAACCGACTGTGACGTAGTAATCGCCACAGAAAGCTAGTGAAGGAGTATTAACAAACAGCCTGTCGGTAAAACGGTGAATACGTCCTTCTTAAAAATGAATGAGCGTAGAGCTTCTTCCTGCTCACGTTTCAACGAAACCCCCACATCTAATCCTTCCATAACTGATTCCAAAGCTGAGTCAAACTAGAACTGTTCAATAGTTGTTGCCATCTTCCTTGTTGTGCTTTCTCCAGCGTTGCGCAGCTTTGTCGTCACGCCCTCGAAACCCCGCCCACTTGGCATCCAGAAATTCAAAACACATCTCTGCGTTGTGATTGGCCAGCCAGTTCTAGGGCCTGAGGCATTGATCGAGGCAGGCAAAAATGATTTTGGCCGCTGGTGGGTGGAGCTGGTTTACTAGGCTAGGTAAACTCTACTTAGGATTCAAATGTAAGTGTATGTTTTGGTCTGAGAATAAGAAAACAGTAAAAAAAAAATAAAATAAAATAAAATCTGAGGATCATGGACTCTAGATGATCAACAGATATTGTTATAAAAAGCTGAAATCTTTCTTTATAGATCTTTACTAAAGAAGCTGATCACTTTGTTGGGCACTTTGTGGCTGAAAAGATACAGGACTCTCCACCCAGGACTTGATGGTGCCTGGAGGGATACTGAAAGAATCCGTTGCTCACCCTGATGACAGGATCTTAGAGAAGGAGTCCGTCCTGATGATCCGCCCGTCTACATCCATAGAGAGAAAAGTGGGAGCCCAAGGCTGCCACAGAAAGACATACGAGGTAAACAAGCTGGATTCTGGGAGATCTGACCTAGATTCAACCCAAGCAAGCAGGAGCTAAGTTTCTGAGACACATAAAGGGAGCTGTTGGTACCTTTTCAAACTGCAGGAAGTAGTAGGGGTCATCCTCGATGATGAGCATGTCGTACAGACGTGCCAGCTGTAATTAAAATAATTAATTCATGAAAGAAATAGATAGAGAGATACTACATAGTTTCACTAATCTGAGGATTTTAGGTGACTTCCACAGACCTCATACACGTCCCTCTTCCTCTCTGCAGTCATAGAGGCCCCGGTGGGGTTCCCCCCATTTGGGATGGTGTAGAGGATCCTGGGAGCCGTGCTGCCAGGTTTGTGCACCTCTGATGGGTCCCAGCGAGAGAGGACGTCTTTCAGAGCAGCGGGGATCATGCCGTGTTGATCGCTGGGTACGTTTATAATGTTACATCCAAGAGGTTGGAGCTACTTAGAGAGAGAAAAGGACAAGGTTATGAGGTCAGAGCAGCCTCGGCTTCTGCTCGTCCCGATGAAGCAGAAAGCACCGACCGCTGCCAGGGTGCCGGAATACGTGGGGGCATCCAGGAGGACGTTGTCTCCGTGGTTTACAAGCATCTCAAACACCTACAAATGAAAAATAAAAAAAAAATACTAACTGGAAACCTCAACTTTCATTAACATATTAATGTCAAACTCCCCACTTTCTTTTCAAGACAGTGGGGAGTTTTAGACAAAGAACCAACAGAATGATGCAGCGTTTTGAAATTTGTCCAGACCAAAAAAAAAAGAAAATCTCTACTTCCTCTGGATCCTAAAGGGGAGGAGTCAAATGTGATGATGCTACCTTACAGAGCCCTTCCTGGCTCCCGGTCGTCACGCACATGTCCATCTGTCCCCTCTCATAGCTGTAGCTGCAGGTTGGCGGGTTGTGTAGGTCCTTCTGCAGCTTCTTCATCCACGTCAGCAGCTCAGGGATTCTACCACAGGGGAAGGTCTAACTTTACCCACCGGCTCAAACGAGCATGAAGGAAAAAGGGCAGTGGAAGTGTGTGGGTCACCCGTTGGAGGCAGAGTACTGTAGGGCCCTCTTCATTGAGGTCTCATCAAATGTGATCGTCTGACCGTTTTTCACCTGGATGGAGGCCGACTGAAAGGGGAAGGTGTTTGGGTTGGGAGCTCCACCAGCCAATGAGATGAGGGATGGAGGGGACCGCTGCTGCAGCTCAGCTTCAAAACAGAGACAAACAGAAACTCTTTGATTTAATGTTTTGGTGCAAATTATCCAATGGATTATCAGAAGGAATGCCATCAAATCATAAAACAAAAAACATAATTCAACTAAATGCTCACAGTGATATGATATACTTTTATTTGTGGCTAGCTGTCAAAAAAAGGGCATACAGTTACAAAGTTTGGCTTTTATTTAATCCATCTCTTTGCTATGTAATAAGCCAATAAGTCACATTAAAACTTTAATTATGCCATACATTTGAAATGTTTTCTGTATCATAATAAGATTTTAGAGCCTGCATTTTATTTTAAACACAGATATATTTCCTGTCATTTGACATCTGACTCTAGCCTAATAAAATGGATCAACTCAGCAACAGATTTAAAGTCTTTTAAGACACTAAAGGTGCTTAGATCTAGAAAAATATTTTTAAAAAGTTCCATCTTTCATCCTAATTGCTTCTTTCTATTTGTGGGTTGGGAGATCCAGTGCCATAAATCAGGGTTAGGCCAACCACAGATGTCCAACTCCAGTGCAAAGACCTGTTTACCTCAGTTCACCTTCAGAGCTGGTCTGATGATGGTAATATAATAACTGTATTTAATTATTTGATTATAAAGAAGAACAAATCAAAAGAAATCAGCTGAAAATAATCAATCATATTGATGTAGAGAAAATATCCAAAGTGAGGCCAAGTGCTGAGTGTGCATTCAAACTAATGATCAATTTGATATTCAATTTATCTGTGAATAACTTTTTACATTATTAACGTAAAATCGTGATGTTTCTTAAAAATAGCATTTAAACCAGGTGAAACTAACTAACTTTTTCCACTTACAAAGGCAGGTTTTAGACTATCTATACTCCATTTAACGGCTAATCAATTAATAAATTAGATGATTATTTCATTAATCGATTCATACTAATTGTTTCAGCCCCAATTAAAACAGAGAAAAACAGCTGCCCCTGATCTGACCTAGGGATGTGGGGAAAAATCAATTTGCCGATATATAGTTATTTTTGGCTACCTGATATAATAACGATAACTCAGGTACTAATATCTATAAAAAAACAAAAAAACATTCTAACCTAAAACAATGAGGGGAAATGTGCCACTCTGATAGATGGCGCTGAGGAGCCCTTTTGCTGTGCAGCGCAGAGCCATATCTGTAGTGGAGGCAGTCATGACTAGAACCACAAACATCATGGATGCCAAAATAACTAAACAATCACTATCTTCTAATGAATATTTACAGCATGTGCTTTTCTCTATACATTTAATTTGATAGCTGGGAAAAATATTGCAATATATAGTGATATTGCAATATCGTGACTATATGGTTTTTTAACCCACATATCGTGACACATGTATCGCACGCTTATGCCAATACTCACCTCTAATCAGGGTGTCAAGTAACAAAGTACAAATACTTTGCTACTGTACTTAAGTAACTTTTTAGGCATCTATACTTTATTGAATTACTTAATTTTCTTCCTACTTCTGACTTCTAATCATTACATTTTCACGCAAGTATCTGTACTTTCTATTCCTTACATTTTAAAATAAACGTTACTCGTTACTCTGGGCTTCGGTTTAATGTTTATAAATATTTATTTCACGTCATGTGCGCCATCCATTGCAGATCATTGGCTCCATCCACATCTAGTGAAAACTAGTGTAATTGGATGAGTCATATGACACAAACACTCACTGGTTAGCTAAAGGAAATCATCAGGAGCAAGCAGGTGTTCTTCAAACTGCAAACGTGAATTGTCTATGCCATGCTACAATGTTGGATTCAGAAAAAGATGTTGAAATGTCTGAAAGGTCGGACACAGGCGAGAGCGTGGCGAGAGCGTATCGGGAGACGGAGACCAACAAGACCTCCCTCATCCTTGGCCCTATCTCAAAGGATTTTTCAAAATAGTCTAAAAATTTAGCTTTTAAATTCATATAGTGGCATCTGGGTGTTTTTTTAAAGGTTACTTTATACTTTTATACTTTAGGTAGTTTTTGGAGCTCATATTTTTTTTACTTTTACTTGAGTAAAGAGGTCAGGTTGATACTTCAACTTTTACCAGAGTGTTTTTAAACTGCAGTATCTATACTTCTACTTAAGTAACAAATGTGTGCACTTTTGACACCACTGCCCCTAATCAGAATCCTAATATAAGTTTATCCAGGTTTTAGTCAATTATAACCATCAGACTTAGACAGATTTTATTTTGTCATTTTGTACACACAAGTGTAAACAAAAACAAATATTGTTAAGTGCAGCTCTCTAGACTATTTCATTCTTAAAATACAGCCTTGATAAAGGCAAGCAGCAGTGACAGAAACATTGTGATGAAAAAAAAAAGGGATGTAAACATATGGCTGTATATTTACAGTTCCAATATTCAGAGTTAATCTGTTTATTTATTTATTTTTAAACATCTGTAACATGACCAGAAAACTTTCCCAGTGGGAGTAACTGATCTTTGGTCAGCTGGTTGTGATGGAGAAATACTCACTCAGCAGTCTGATGGGGGAAGGCTTTCTGGCTCCACTGACTGCTGTTAGAAAGCGAGCGTAGTTCATGGTTCCTGGGAAATTACAAAAGCACCAAACAAATCAGTTGCTCTGACTATTAACCACATGTTATATATTCAGTTAAGGTCCTAAATGACAAGCTAATCCACCTGTAGAGTTTTTTTTCTTTTCTTTAAGAGATAAGGTATATTTTAAGTTTAAAAATGCGTTCATAGCCAAACCTTATCTGATTTTTTTAGGAAGTATTAAACAATAATGACACTAAGAAAAGGGGCAGTGAAGCAGCATAACGAGGAACCAATCGGTAGTACCAGGAATTATAAACACGGCTAAACATTTATAGGACACACTCATCTACTCGTAACTGACCTGTGTTTGTGTCGCGCTCGCTCGTCCCGGTGGATTGTGGTTAATGTATTTCTCTAGCGGCCAGCAGCTGTTTCCCGAGCTACACCCTCTTAGCTTAAGAACAAACGTCAAGGACACGTTTAAGAGCAACCGAACGGTGTTATGGAACAGGTTCTTCGAGGAAAAAAAAGGCTGTTAATCTTTACCTGTGTGCGTTCCAAGCTTTTCGGCGATTCCTGTTTAGTCCATTAGGGGTCAGCAGCAGTGAGTACGATCTCTCCATTGGCAGGAAACGGAAATTACGTCATATATATTGCTAGCTTAGCCCGTGTTATCTTCGCTTTTAATAGCTTTCAAATATGCTAGTCTTAATTAAGAATGCTGTCAGCTAAAAACAAATACTTTTTTAAGTCTTAAACAGCTATTTTCCCCCCCCATGTATATAAAGATTTTATTTGAACGGATAAACTTATTTGTATTCCGACAAAGGGGCTAACAATAAACACTATTCGGAATAGCCGCTAATGTCAGTTAAAGTTGAATAATGGTTGCTTGTCGTCTGTTGCGGTAGAAAACGAAGAGAAAGGAAAGACGTTTAGATAAAATCTCGATCTGCGTTGAGATGTAGAGCTGCAAACGTTGTCTTCTGTCGTTTCAATGGGAAAACGGAAAGACATGATTCACCCCAGGTTCCTTGGCAAGTAACGATTTTTTAATTTTATTTTTTAATAATTCAACACTAATATTTGAGGTTTCCACACATTTTTTTCTATCTAATCCAGTTTGTAGTTAAATAATTTTTTATATTGGGTAAACTGGAAGGTCTATGCTCCATGCAGGGTAGTTAGAAACTAGTAATGAAAATGACCGTAAACAAACATGAATGGGTTATTTAATTTTCTTTAAAAGTTAAAGTGTTTTATTTTGTGGGGCCAAAAGCAGGTAGCAGGTATTTTAATTTGGTTTGATTTCCAAATTGTACATAAAAATATAAAGTCATAACATCAGTTGCTAAAAGAGATGAACATTGTCAGTTTTCCCTTATTATTTAAACTGGTAAATTCTTTGTTTCAACCTGTGAAATCATCAATAGTAAGGATGGAATGCCTTTAAAAACATTAAACACAAATATACTTTTAACCAAGTTTATTTAAAGACTTATAGGGATTTTATGTTGTACTGTCAGGTAGAATCGTGTGCCTGACTGGAACGTTTGGCACATTTTTCGGTTTGTCTTTGTCGTTTACATTATGTTGATTACTTAAAACATGCAAACAACAACAAAAATCTAATCGGCATAGAATTTCTATAGATTTCATTAGGGAAACAAAATAAGGTATTGGGCTTCTATTACAATTTTGTTTCTGTACTTTAAGAAATTAAATAACCCTTTTTAATGTTATTATTCTTGGTTTCTTAAGAGGACATCCAATAACCGAAATTTGCATGGATCAGGAAAAGACAAATATATTAACAATATTGGGAATTGATTTAGTTATTTACTTCTGTATATTTTTTTATGCATTTATTTATATTTCTCCTCTGGTCATCTTTAGGCGAAGGCAGCTCCAGCCTGCACAGCATCCACAAACGGAAACACAAAAAACACAAAAAGCACAAGAAGAAACATCACAGCTTTGCTGAGACCCCAGAGCCAGAACCGATCCCTGTCCCTATCCCAGTCCCGATCCCTCGACCTCCGTCTCAGTTCAGGCTGAAGATCAAACTGGGAGGGCAGACTCTGGGCACCAAGAGGTTAGCTGAGTCCTAAGTGTTAAAGTCAGTGTTCATCTGGATATGTGATTAACTGATGGGAGGATATTTGTTCCAGTGTTCCCACCTTCACGGTCCACCCTGGCGTGGCTCGTCCTCCCTCACCGTTGATGATATTAGACAATGATGTGGACGACGATGATGAAAATGACGACGACGATGAACCCTCTGTGCCTTTGGAGCAGTATCGAGCCTGGTTGGGTAGGTTACTTAAAGCATAAAGTAAAGGACCAAAATCTATTTCGATCGGTGCCGTTTTAAGGTTGAAACTATAAAGTAAATAAAGTTTCAAAGCTCAGATAAGCTCCAATAAGTAGGAAAAAAACAGATTGTCTGTGTTTCTTTAGTTTTTGCAGCCAAACAGAAATCGAATCTAAAATTAAAATGTTTACATTTTGTTATATGCTTTCTCTTTGAACTGTCTATAAATATACCGTCAAACAACTCTGGTGATTTAACGTCTTGAACTGTTACCTGAGGGATAGGGCTGGGTGGTTGGGCCTTAAAATCTTAACACTGAAATTAACGATAAAAACACCCTTCATTATTCTTCAAAGTTGTTGTTAGGCAACTGTACAGTTGTGGCTGTTTGCCACAACAGTCATAGCCTCACAAATACAAGTCCTGCTCTAAAAAATACCACATAAATTTACAAAAAGCTTCTTCATGACAGCCGTTATATAAAGAGGTGTGATTTATATCAATAAACATCCCATATTAGCTGCACTTAATCATAAGAAAAAGGAAAGAACAGTAGAATTTTTTTTTTTTATCTCCAATTCTAATTAATCATTTAGACGATAAATAAAAATTGTTATAATGACTAGAGGGTTAGGGTAATGATCACACCGCTTTCTCCCTCTGTATCCTTTTTTCCTTGGATGTCAGATGAAGATAGTAACATGGCTGCGTCCCCTCTGCCAGACATCGACTCTGACTCCATGCTGGGTGGGCCTGTGGACGAGGAGGAAAGGTGGCTGGATGCTCTGGAGAAGGGAGAGCTTGATGACAATGGAGAGCTAAAGAAGGAGATTGATGAGTCTCTACTCACTGCCAGACAGGTGAGATAAAGGCTTAAAGTACAATCAGGCCAATAAAGTTTGGATTAAATCTTTAAATCACACAAAAATACACAAAAGTTAGTGTTTTATAACATTTAAAAATCCTCAAAGTATGAACTCATGAAACTTTCCTCTTCAGAAAGCCCTCCTGCACAAGCAGCAGAGTCAGCCTCTCCTGGAGCTGCCCATGGGCTACAAGGAGAAGGAGATGACAGCAGAGATGATGCAGAAACGGGAGGAGAGGGCCCGGAAGAGACGCCTGCAGGCTGCTAAGAAGGCGGAGGAGAACAAGAACCAGACTATCGAGAGACTGACAAAAACCAGCAAGGCCAAGATCAAAAGCCTCAAAGAGAGGAAGTCCAAGCAGAACCAGTGTCCCATGGTTCGCTACAGCGACTCGGCTCAGGGAATAGCCATCTCTTTCCCGGCAGGGGTCCCCACTCCGTCAGCGGCACCTCCGGTTCCTCCACCTCCAGCTCCGGTGAACTGTGGCGTGAACGGATGCAGCAACCTGAAAAAGTACTCGTGTTCAAAGACAGGGGTTCCCCTCTGCAGCCTGGAGTGTTACAGGAAGAACCTGCAGCTTGTGCAGAGCGCAGCTTGAACCAGAATCCTTCAGATAACTTAATGTGAAAGGTATAGTTTGACAAATGAATGAACTTTCAATGTGGTATGACTTCTCAATGACTTTTTTTTCTGTACTTATGTTTTTTTTTATCACAGTGTGGACAAATATTTATGATTTCTATCATGACTACAGAGAGGAGGCTTCCTAAGCTCTGAAAAAAACAGAAAAAAGAAGAACATTTTGCTTTATGTTTAAAAGACATTACCTTCTTAACTCAAAATCCAGCAAGATCAATGAAATCTATCTTGAAATCAATAAAAGGCTGTGGTATTTTATATTCATGTCAAATAGTGTTTATTATGTAACAGTTTTACCATATAAAACTATACAAAATTTAAATTAAAAATAAATGTTTAGTACTTTCCATACAGAAAGTGAAAAAAGTCAATCTAGCATGACTGGCTGGAGATTCATGCAGCAGCATCCTTTCCTTTTTACTGGTTTAGGTCAAGTTCACAGCACAAAAACCAGCTGGTGATAGTGGGAGGGAGGTATTCACTGGGTGAGACGCTCACCAGGCTTAATGGTGAGGGAAAAAAGGCACTGAAGTCGAGGTCTGCTTGTCATTTATCAACACAAAAAGCCTCAGTCATGCTCCACTGCTTATCTGCAGAAAAAAACCCCATTTAAACTAAAGACCTTTAAAGATGGAAATCACTGTTAGGATCAGAAACCTCTACAGTAATCCTGAGATTGTGCAGGAAATGGTCTCATTGTCTTCAATCTATCAGCAATCCTGATGAGGGTGACGCATCATAAAGCCAAACCGAAGGACAGTCTGAACGCCATCTCTACAGGAACTTCCGGCACAGAGTCATGGAAGCACACATAGAACTCCTGAGGAACCGGCTCCAGCAACATCCGCCTGGGAATGAGAACACAAAGGAGCTTTAAAAGAAGAATGCTTTGATTTAAATCCTCCAGGAAAGTCATTTTTTTAACATTCCCCTGACTATTGGACACTATCAACACAGACGTACCCTATGACCCAGTAAGTCATGGTGGGGGCGGGCTTCCTCTGGTCGGTCCAGTTCTCTGGCTTACACTGAAACAGAACCCCGTGTTCTTTAACCGGACCCAGACCCCAGCCGGACCTCTGAGGCCGTTCAGCTGCACGGCGACCCTGTGAGAGATCAAATAAAACAGACGCATTCAAACTTCCCCCAGATGAGAGTGCAGGGAGAGAAACGAGCTTCAGATGCAAAGTTTTCTCCCTCGCATGCAAAACAGATAGTTTTCACTCCCTTTTAAACTTTGCATATCTAGTCATTTTGCAACCACAAACTCTAGTATTTAATACCATAGAAGAATCTGTCATGCTGAGTTGTGTATAAAAAGTTAAAGTTAAATCTGTTTTTAAAATGTTGCTCAATTAAAAATCTAATCATTGCAGTGTGCATTAATATATTTACTGCAGGGGAAAGGTTCATGTGTTTGAAATAGGGCTCAATTCAAATTTTTAAGAAAATTATGGAGCTTGTTTTTATCTGTATCTAGCTTATTTAAAAAAATATATACCTATAAAAATCAATCTTTAGGAATTAATATGAGAATTAATTTGTTTTTATATCTCTAATTTCTATGGTCCAGTCAGATCCAGGATCTACAGCAAGGCTTCAAAAACGACAAGATTGGGAAAACTTAAAGGTGTGAATGCTTCTATAAGGCGCTCGATATCATGTATGACGGAGGGATTGCTGCCTTTATGGCAGCAATGTTAAGGCAGAATTTTTAATAATATAAAGGAACCAGAAGAAGCTTCCTGATACTTTAAACATGAGCTGAATGGACAAATAAATCCATCATTATGCTGAACTTGGTTGGATTTCTGTCATTAGTTCTTCCTCTCTAAGCGCTGCCTTCCACTCACCCTGGCCGGCAGGCTCTGTTGGAAGGCGGCTCGTATGGAGAGGCAGCAGTGGTGGAAGTTGCGTATGAGCTGAGGGTGGATGGAGCCGCTGAGCTGAGCCACTTCTCTGTGAGTGGGAGCGATGAAGATCCCCTGCACAGCCTCCATCAGGATGTAGTGAAACAACGTGTTCTCTGTACCTGAAGTCAGTCTGTAAAGATGATTAGGTCATCGTTTGTGAACTGAAGTGATTAGATATCTAAAAACAAGCCGGGAGGAAAATTACTCGCTATGACTGACTTTATGGTGTTGTACATTTCCTCTGTCTCCCTCTCAGTCAGGGTCTTCCTTAGGGTGCCGAGGTAGAAAGGGTTTGGGTGCTTCATCCTGGATGTCTGGAGAGCGGGGAAAAAGGAAGGGGTGTCAATGAAAGGGAAATTAATTTGTTGTTTGACTTGGATGGTTTGAGGATTCTAAAAAATCCTGATAGACTTTAGACAGATACAGATAGTTTGAAAAAAACACCAAATCTCCTTCACTAAATTTAATCTGAGGATGCTACAGCTGCACCTTAAAGAGGCCTCCGCTCCCATCAGACCCCAGAGAGTCCCGCCTCCCTCCAAGCCTTCTCGCTGAACCCGGGGTGGAGTGAGGGCTGATGCTTTGAGCCCCTGACGAACCGGACCCGGACCCCGCATCCATTTGGACCTCACTGTCCAACAAGCTCCTCTGTGGGCTGGACCTGCGGGACTTCTCGCCGAACAGGCTGCGCCCTCTAGACCCGGATGGGGACCCTCGAATGGCCCCGGCCAGCTTGCTGAGGACGGGGGAGGAGGACGCCAGGCTGTCGAGGCGATCCCGTGTCGTGGAGGCAGGGAGGAACCAGTCGGCGCAGGACAGACAGGGAGCGGAGGGGATATTGAGCCGCTCCTCCATCCCTGCCTCCAACGCCTCCAGCTGCAGAAGGGTTGCTTTCACCTGAGCACACAACAGCTCAATGTGGATGATTCCCAATTATCCATTCCAGTTTCCATCAGCATGCCACCACACCTACCTGATCCACATAAACACAATCAGGTCCTGGAGAAGCCAGAGCTGGAGACGCACATCCCCCCGCCTCCAACAGCACACACTGCATGAAGTGCCTCTGAAAATGGAGGCAGAAAACAAAGCAGGACCGATCAGACCGGTCTCGCCTTACAAAAGCAGCGTCCTTCTGTCAGCAAACCCCCTCCTCTTCCTCACCAGCCCCACTATGAGGAGGAAGTGTCGTCCCTGAGGCTGCGTGAAGCCCGGCGCTGAGCTGACGCCTCCGTTGACTCTCTGCTGGGGAAACACTTCTCTCCAGATGACGAGCTGACCAACTCGCTGTTCTGACGCCAGAGGCAGCAGGCAGAAGTGTTGGCAGTACAGACACACGTCCAGCAGGTCCTCCTTAGGGAGGTGGTTGGCGATCAGGTAGGACTAAGGGAGGAGAGAAGGTGGAGGATTCAGCATCTGACATGCAGAGCAAGCAAAGAGGTGCTTGATAACTAGAGGAGATGTAATGATTTAAAGCTCAGGTAGAATCTGTTCCCAGCACTCTATAAATTAGGCTTTGTGGGAAGAAGTCTACAAAATACTTAAAGGTCCAAATTCCAGAACAACAAACCCAACCATCAGTCAGAGCATCGGTTTGAATCAATCTAGGGCTGCAACCAACAGTTATTTTGCAAATTGATCAATCTGTTGATTATATTTTTCATTTAATTGATTGACAATCTGATAGCAAGAGGTTCTTAAAGAACACTTTTCAACTTGAGGAGTTCTACACAGAGCATATTGACAGGCAATTTTTTTTTCTACAATTTTTCTATAATTGCTGCTCTAAGATGGTTGCTCTTTCAGCTCAAGGCATGTTTTAGAGTCTCTATAATCCAGTTAACGATTACTTGATTACTAAATGAGTGGACGATTAATTCAATAATAGATTAATCACGATTAATGTGATTGTTTTAGCCCTAAATCAGTCACAGACTGTCTTTGTTTATCCGACCAAGCCTGAGCTTTCATTAAAAAAACATCAGTCTGTAAACATGTGATGCTGTAAGAGGCCGATCAAAACACACCAGTAGCGTTTACTTGCAGCAAATGGTGGGCCTACAAACATATGTGCTCACATCACTCTATCCAATGCTCCCATTTGCAGTCATGTTGCTCTGATATATAACATCAGCACAACACAGGGGTGTGGTTGTTGCAGAGGAAGACATCCAAACATTATAAATACACATGGTGTAAACAACCTTTCATATCTGCATCTGGATCATCTACAGATCGCTGTAAGGAAAGTAGATGCTGGTTTGTGGAAATGCAGCAAAATGCAGGCAAGCTTGTTTGTGCTTGTTTTGACGTTGATTCCTACCTTATAGAACAAACAGGAGCCGAGTATAACATAAAGACGCCGCAGGCCAAAGAAGTCCTCGGACTGTAGAAAAGAGAGGACAATGAGAGTAAAAGAGCATTTAAAATAATGTAACTATAGTATGTTAGATGTTCTGTAATTAGTTAATGTGTGTTTTTAAGGAGAAATTTCTTACATTTTTATGGAAAATGTTTCATACCGAGGAATATTTCAACCATTCTCACCATTTCTCCAAAGTCAGAGGACTCAAAATCAGAGAGAACTGTGTCCACCTCCATCTAAAAGGGAGTACGCAATATTAAATCACCAGCACACACTTCCATACATCATGTGTGGTCCCGGTTTCCACCATCATTTCACTCATTTAAATTAAATTGTCGTTCCAATTAGTGAACACAAGAGGGCCCCTAAGCTGCACAAAAGTACAAAAGGACCAGACACTTTGGCTCCTGAGGTGTGAGTGTTCAGATGAGCAAACCTTTATTTCAGGCGGCAAAGTGAGCCATTGGACAGCCGGAAGTCCATCCAGAAAGAGGCTCCCTGACACATCCGGCGAAAAGGGGGAGGTGCCTTCCATCAGGCGCCAAGGCTGGATGAGCTGCTGGAAGAACAAGCAGAAGAAATGGTCCAACCTGGGAGCGTGGTCCACCTTACAGAATGCGCTGCAGGAGACACATGCAGGATGTCAAATGCACGTACGACGCTAAATGAGAGCGACCACATTCCAAGATCCAAGAAGCAGAAGTTTAAAAAAGACAGCTGTCAACATTTTGTTATTGTAGAGAAGCTGACCTGTCCAAGGAGCCGTACATCAGTTTTAACGTCCGCACCACATCACCAACCACCGTCTGCAGAGATAGCAGAGGAACCCTGCAAGGAGACGAGGAGAAAGTCAAATGCATACCTGTGTGAACCAAAAGCTTCGCTATAGAACGCGCTAAGTCAGTGTTAGCAACCGGAAAAAAATAAAAGTACAGTTGAAACCAAATGTTGACAAACACTTTATAAAGAGATGTTTTTTATTCTCACTTTCTGACACTAAATCTTATTGTGTCAGTTGGGATTATCAAATGATTTAAAGATTTACAAGAGCATTAGAAGTTTACACACATTAGTATTTGCATAGCAAAGTTCTCACAATAGTTTACTGGATTTTAGGCTCATTTATGCAGAGAAAGAGTTAAACCAGCTTTGTAGGCCGTCTTGGTTACCTTTACAGGTGCTGGTCATAAAATTAGAATATCATGAAAAAGTAGATTGATTTCAGTAATTCCATTTAAAAAGTGAAACTTGTATATTATATTCATACATTACATACAAACTCATATATTTCAGATGTTTATTTTGTTTAATTTTGATGATTACAAATGACAACAAATGAAAATCTCAAATTCATCATATCAGAAAATTAGAATATTGTGAAAAGGTTCAAAATTGATGGCCCCTGGTGCCACACTCTAATCAGCTAATTAACTCAAACCACCTGCAAAAGCCTTTAAATGGTCTTTCAGTCTAGTTCTATAGGCTACACAATCATGGGGAAGACTGCTGACTTGACAGTTGTCCAAAAGACGACCATCGACACCTTGCACAAGGAGGGCAAGACACAAAAGGTCATCGCTAAAGAGGCTGGCTGTTCACAGAGCTCAGTGTCCAAGCACATTAATAGAGAGGCGAAGGGAAGGAAAAGATGTGGTCGAAAAAAGTGTACAAGCAAGAGAGATAACCGCACCCTGGAGAGGATTGTGAAACAAAACCCATTCAAAAATGTGGGGGAGATTCACAAAGAGTGGACTGCAGCTGGAGTGAGTGCTTCAAGAACCACCACACACAGACGTATGAAAGACATGGGTTTCTGCTGTCGCATTCCTTGTGTCAAGCCACTCTTGAACCACAGACAGCGTCAGAAGCGTCTTGCCTGGGCTAAAGAGAAACAGGACTGGACTGCTGGTGAGTGGTCCAAAGTCATGTTCTCTGATGAAAGTAAATTTTGCATTTCCTTTGGAAATCAAGGTCCCAGAGTCTGGAGGAAAAGAAGAGAGGCACTTCATCCACGTTGCTTGAAGTCCAGTGTAAAGTTTCCACAGTCAGTGATGGTTTGGGGTGCCATGTCATCTGCTGGTGTTGGTCCATTGTGTTTTCTGAGGTCCAGGGTCAACGCAGCCACATACCAGGAAGTTTTAGAGCACTTCATGCTTCCTGCAGCTGACCAACTTTTTGGAGATGCAGATTTCATTTTCCAACAGGACTTGGCACCTGCACACAGTGCCAAAGCTACCAGTACCTGGTTGAAGGACCATGGTATCCCTGTTCTTAATTGGCCAGCAAACTCTCCTGACCTTAACCCCATAGAAAATCTATGGGGTATTGTGAAGAAGAAGATGCAATACACCAGACCCAACAATTCAGAAGAGCTAAAAGCCACTATTAGAGCAACCTGGGCTATCATAACACCTGAGCAGTGCCACAGACTGATCGACTCCATGCCACGCCGCATTGCTGCAGTAATACAGGCCAAAGGAGGCCCAACTAAATACTGAGTGCTGTACATGCTCATACTTTTCATGTTCATACTTTTCAGTTGGCCAACATTTCTATAAATCCTTTGTTTTTATTGGTCTTCAGTAATATTCTAATTTTCTGATATGATGAATTTGAGATTTTCATTTGTTGTCATTTGTAATCATCAAAATTAAACAAAATAAACATCTGAAATATATGAGTTTGTATGTAATGTATGAATATAATATACAAGTTTCACTTTTTAAATGGAATTACTGAAATCAATCTACTTTTTCATGATATTCTAATTTTATGACCAGCACCTGTATATCCCTGCCCTCATATTTTCTAAGCGACATACCTGGCATCTCCAGAACAATATTTTAATTAAAGACACTTTCAGATTGATTTAGCTAACCTTATTCTTATCTGTTTGAAATAACAATTTGTAACTAATAATTACCAAGCACCAATCTTCAGATGTTTCACTGGTTTCTGCTGCAGAGCATAGAAAAAAAAAACTCATCATGATGCTGCCACCCCCGTACCTCACCGTGGGGCTGTTTTTTTTTTTTTTTCACTGCGGATAAACACTTCCCACAGTAAGGTCTTTCTGGGTGCACTCAGGACATGTTTGTTTCACATCTCAGCCAGTTCCCATATGTTATTTTAAACAAGGTCTTATGTTTCAACAAAGAAGCTACACTCTGGGCGTGTCAAATCTCTAGACATCAGAAACACTAAATATGGGGAGAACTCAGCATTTTGTTTTATTTTGAGCTTGTCTGTGTGATTTAATTACCGGGGAGCTTTAGGCCATGCAAACAATGCCATGTTGCAATGGATTGATTCAGGGATAATTTTACTTCAGGGCTGTGAGGTTTTTGTAGCTGCCCTGATGTTCAGAGGCAGCTAGGCGGCTGAACCTCTGCCTCTTCACTACTCCATGTGACCCAACAAAATATTGTTCTTCTTCTATAACCTGGTTTTATGTCACTGGTTCTGATATTTTGCCCGTGAACAGGCTTTCTCACAATGCAATTAATTCCCTCCCAGCTCTGGATCCTGAGCATCTCATATTTATGTTGCTATAGGCTTAGACTGCCGGAGGACATAGGGACTCCCTTTTCACCATTCTGCTTCATTCTATCTGTATTCTCCCACTCTGCAGAATTCATTAGTTCAATCTCTAACGTTATACTTTCTCTGCTTATAGTAGCTTCATCTCTTCCTGTTTGGCTGTGACACCATCCTGGAGAGAAAGATCAGCTGTGCTGCTGCCATCAACACCTTTGTTTATAGATGTTGGAGCTTGGCCTGTTTATCAGTGTAGCTGTATGTGCTCTCTTTCATCCTCTGACATGGGAGCTAGCTCAGAGCTCGTCTGCCTGGCTGTGTGTTTCCTAGACGGGGCCGCCTTTTACATTTGTCTTTTGTATGTCTGCTTCTGTCTCCTTGAACCCCAGTCGGTCTCAGGAGATGGCCGCTCACACTGAGTCCGGTTCTGCTGGAGGTTTCTTCCTGTTTAATGGGAGTTTTCCTCTCCATTGTCGCTACAAACATGACTGGTGTGAGGGATTGCCTTCGAGTCAATGAGTCGATTCAATCAACTGGTTTTCCTTAGATAGAAAACTTCCTTTCATCATTTTGCCTGTGTTATCTAGTTTAATTGTCTCTGTAAAGTGATGACATTTTTTATGTATTGGCACTATAGAAATAAACTGAATTGAATTGGATAAACTGCATTTGTAACAAGCATTGGTTTTAGGGTCCTGAAAGGTTTCACTGTGGGGATCTGCTACAGAAACCATACTGGCCAGTACAAGAAATCTCAAGGGTGGGAAAGCATAAAAAGGAGCAGAATATTTGAGGTTTCACCTTAAAATAAATTAAGTAGAAAAATTATCAAAAATGTATTAAACCGTCACCTCATCACCCTGGTGTTCCTGAAATATTTAAAGGAAAGTAATCTGACCTTATAGAAAACCCTGCATTTGAAAAAGAAGAAAGCATGCCCTTCATTTAGCAAATAAAATGGTAAATGTCACCTAAAACAAGATAGATTAATTTTTTTACTAATTCAATACAGTTGTGTGTTATTCTTTTATACATATACCTCCTATACAAGGGTAAAGAGAAGCACATGTTTAAAACCCATCTGAAGAAAGCAGATGGGCTTTTCAGATTGCCCTCTTAAATCTTGCCTTCTACAAAAACATATTTTAAAGCACTTTAAGCAACAAAAACACAAGAATCTGAGTCTAATTTTTTTTCTTTCTTAATAACAACAGACAACTTCTGTTTGTGTAATAATGGTCTTACAGATAGATGTGTGTGTTGCATGGGTGCGTTTGTTTTGTGCTGCCGGCCTCTACCTCTCAGCAGGAAGGCCGACGACCAGCAGGTTATTGTGCTCCTTCCAGTAGCCAACGTGAACCAGATGTTTCCTGAGCAACAGAGACGAACTGAGCGAGGGAAAAGGAGAACGGAAAAAGAAAAGCGAATGCTAAGGCCAGTGGATTAACTCAGCAGAAATTTCATCAACTTCTGGAAGAAAAAACTCCAACAAAACACACCTTAGCAACTAACTATTTAAGGTGCTGTTAGGAAGATTTCATGCACTCACTGGTAGCACGTTTCTCGCTAATTTCTGAAATTAGTTTAAACAGCTTTTATTTCCTACACAGATTTGAAGTAAAAAAATTAGCTTCTGCAGTTTTTAAGAAAAGGATCTCTGAGCAAATGCTTATGTTTCATGCGACTGATATTCAGACAAATCCTCTAATTTCTAGATAAACCTCCAAAAGCATTTGTTACAAAAAAAAAACACGAAGTTAACTTTGGTAGGCCTTTTTTTTTATCAGTGTTCTTGGTTCAGGGGGTTCAGGCACTGACCTCACTGTTAAGAACTGATGGTGAGCTTAATGGTTTAAAAAACGAGACACCAGGATCTTAATATGACCCTGCTTTATTCATCCTAAAGGAAGATCTGATCTGGTTTGAGTTGTTCTTTTGTTTGAAACAACCTTTTATCTTCAAGATTCAACCATCTCACTCAAGCTGTTATCCTCAGATTAAATGAAATAGGTTGAGAAGTGCAAGAACCTATGAATCACAAAGACCAAAGCCTGCAATGAACCATAAACTCCTAAAACACATTTTTCACTCTCAACACCCTCAATTTGACTGTATGATCTGGTTGAACTGTAAAGTGCCTTGACATGACATGTGTTGTGAATTTGGCGCTATATAAATAAACTGAATTGAAACTGAATTGAATTGAATGGATGGAGTAAAACCATAGCATTAAAATGCTCACCTCTAAGTAGGGGCGCACCGATTGCAGGTTTCTGGTCGATCATTGATTACCAATCTTTAAAAAGCCAGATGCCGATTTGACCGCTGTAGGTACCAGATCGGGTTCTGTGCATGCCAGTGCATCATGATTGGCTGAACGTTGCCAGCCACTGTGATGTAAAACATAGTGGTTGCCCAGACAACGATAATAACATCACTCAGCATCTGTTAGCGTGTCTAATCACCGATGAAGTGTTACCTGATCGATAACAAAACTGAAAAAAAATCTGTTTATGGTAAACAAAGTAACTGCAAGATTGTAGTATAAAGGGGGAGAGCTGGGTAGCGGTGCTCAGTAGCTAACAGGTTAGCCTCTTTTAGCTTGTTCAGATAGTTATATTAAACTACACTACTTTTGAATTCGTATCAATAGCAAGCGTTTGTTTTCTACGAGTAGAATAACTGTTGTTTTCTTCGTCTAAAATCTCTATCAAAGTCATTTTTTAGGATGTTCCATTTGTCCTTCTTGCCCTCAGATCTTAATAAAAAGAATAAAAATAAACAGAGACTTTTTGTGTCACCTTGTTAAAAGGAAGAGTTCAGTCTTTCTTAGAAGGCAGTACTTTCCTTCAATAACTGACAATTATTGTTTTCTACTTTCGGCTACTTTAGATCGCCAATGAAATGTAAAATAATAGCATATATAGGTAATAATATGTTGAAAATCCAAAAGAGATTCGATCCTTAAGAAACGGGTGCAATACGGTTTGTCCGAGTGGAGTTGCCATATGTTGACGTCATAAGCAGGGGCGGCGCCCTGAGCAGATCTGACCTCCCGAGCAGATCTGGTACCTACATGGTATAGATTTTGATTTAAAAAGTGACACCATCAGATATTATAAAGGTTATAAGACACCTGTAATATTTCAAAGTTATATTGCTGAAAGACAGTAATCAGGGCGTCTGAAACAAGGGGCCCTCAAGTATAAATCAAGGTTTAGAGCATTGAAAGTGTGTGATTTTAAGATCTTTGCAGAAGTAGGTAAGATCGGTGGAGAAGATCGATTTCATATCTAAATATCGACAAATCATTGATCTCCCAAAATGAAGGACATTGAGGCCAATAAATCGGTGCACCCCTACCTCTAATCATCAAGAGTTAAGTATTGTGATGTTTGATCAGAAGACAGTTTAAAGAGCCTCAGCTGAGCCTTTCAAATCAACAGAAACTTTACCAAGTAGTGGTGGGTAGTGAGGATTACAACTTGACTTTAAAATCTTTTTTTGCTTTATCACCTGATGATCTGGCCGCCTGTGACGTTCTCCAGCATGTCACACAGAGTAAGGAAGATGCCTCTGACTCCTTTCAGCTGGCTGGACGCTTCAGACGTCGGATACTGGTATAGGATTTCCTCCTAATGAGATGGACGGCTTAGTTTAGAAACACTCGTGGTAAAACACTGCTGTGTGTTCTGAGAATTACATATGAGGCTTAGAGTAACATCTCTGGTTAGTCGAACAAAAAAAAGGAACATAATAATGTGTTTTTGGAAATTCGACTCTCTAAACATCTGCTTGGTGTCAAACTCTGGATGTACAAACGACTGGATGTTTAAGATACTTCAGCAAGGCTTGGCTGGGTTCAATCTAACCAACACATCTCTCTGGAATAAAAAAAATATATCTGAAGATGAACAGAAGAAATGAAAGTTTGAATTTCCGTTGCTGAGGAAAAAAAAATCGACTTATTTTCACTGTGTTGAGACCCTTTTTTTAATGATATAATGTTAAAAATATTAACTTTAAAGCATCTTCATGGGAATTTATTCGACAGAACAGCAGAATGCAGTCAGAAAAATAAAAAAGTGAAACTTGAAAAGCTGAAAGGTCTGGCCTGCGCGTGAATTCAGCTCTTTTCACTTAATAAAATGGAATAAAAAAATAGATAAAAACACAGAATTAAAGAGAAAGGAGGTAAAATGATTTGCCCAGCAGTTAAATAATTGCACCTGTCAAGAAATGTAATCAGTGATACATGAGTAAAATATGAAATGTTAAGTAATATGAAGTAAAATATTTTATGTTTTGATCACTTAAAAGTCTGTATGTTAACCATCTGATTAGAAATTGCATATTTTAATTTGTCACAACTATAAAGAACTTCTGTTTGAGCGTACAAACACCTTTCGGTTTATTATATTATTTTGTAGAAATCTTGTAGAAAGCTTTGCTTCAGCTAGTTGATTATGAGTTCAGTGGGAACTTTGAACCCAATCTTTTCTTGTTTCCATCCATCCATTTTCTGTCACGCTTTATCCCTGCTGGGGTAACGAGGGGTGCTGGGGCTCCAGCTGTCTCCAGGCGAAGGGCGGGGTACACCCTGGACAGGGTAACACAGAGACACACTAGACAAAACACCATTCACGCACACACTCACACCTAAGGAGAATCTAGAGAAGCCATTTACCCTAACAGTCATGTTTTTGGACTGTGAGCAGAAGCCAGAGTTTTTTCATGTTTCTTCCCTACCAAACAGGAAAATATAAGCATCTGAAATGAGAAACTCAACTAAAGTGTAGTGTATTGAAAAGGTTTATTATGCATCTAGAGTTAATAATTGAACATAATTTTATAATTATAATTTACAACATTCTGGCTCTTAGGAGACAGAATGTCAAACCATTCAAGGGGTGTCAATACTTTTGAGAGACGTTTTTCATCTTTGTTGACAAATTCAGAGAATAGCTGGTTTATTAGTATTCCAGTTGGTTTGTGGGAATTCAAGGAATGAATGGTGGGTGTGGGGACTGAAAACCCTGAATGAACTAAATCTTTTGCAACCGTAGCAAAAGACCCACAAAAGATATTGACCATTAAGTCAGGAATGCACGCCGGGAGGCTACTGAAGCGTTAGAGCTCGTATAAACGTGTCGCTCCAGAACCAGAACTCCAAACTGCAGCCGCTGCTGAACATCTCGTATTCTACCACCCTGCAATCATGAGACCAAAGAATCAAAGTCACGGTTTAGAGGGTTAGTGAACAACACCGTCATTTAGAAAACAAGCACTGCTCTCCTTCGCTAACTGTAGTTTAGGTCAAGATAAATAAAAGAATCTGGCTTGCAGAGTTACAGAGGGGGGAGCAGGAGAACAGTAGAGGACCATTGGACTGAAATCAGTGCACCACAAAGAACATGTAATTACACTGTCAGAGGGGCTCTTCACAGCAGCAGTTTGCAGCCAGCAATCTGTGTCCTGACTTACGATGGACTCTGCAGCGACTGCGTTCTGATAAAAAGAGAGATCTCTCATTGCTGTTACGCTCTGATCCAAAACAGATTGGATTAAGGCTCCACAGAGTGCGGCTGACAGCTTCAAATCACAGATCATTTGCTGCAAGAAGCCGAACTAATCGTGACTTTTTCCCCCCCACTCCAACTCGCAGATAGACGCCCTGGAGGTCGTCCAGAACGGCAGTTTCCAGAAGCGATCTGGAGGAATTTGCTTTTGATGCTGTGATTTCTTTTACAACTTTTGTTCTTAACAGTCAATTACCAGGATCCGCTCTCTGAGAGCGAGGCTAATTAAAGCGGTCTGTGTTAAGTACTAATGGAGGTTTATAAGGATTGCTAAGAGCCACAATAATGATCTAATTTCTCCTAGAATTTACTTTCCTAGTGGATGGAAAAGTCTTTAAGCTCCAGTGTTTGAGCAGACACAGCCCCTTTCTTCTATTCACTCTGCAAATGTGGTTTCATTTCTAATTGTTGGACATAATAACCTGGCCCACTCCGAGTCTGTCCACTCTCAGCATCTATTGCATGCAGGGCTTAAATCTTTTCAGAGTTTCCTTAAAATATCCACAGCTCTGTGCAGCAACCTGCTTCCACTTGACAACTTCCAAGTTTGCTTTAACAAAAGAGCCCATGTTTAATTCTACAGCTGCAGTCACGCATTTACCAGCCCTTTTATTTGCATGGGTTTAATTTACTGGCACACACTTCGGATAATCAGTAGTTCTGATTTTGCTACAATAAATAAAGATGATTTGGTTGTGACACCAAAGTTGCATTGCTACAAATGAAAATTACCTGAAGAAAAGTGGTCCCTCTCTATCTGTTATGTCGTTTATACCATAGGTATCCTGATCTGCAAAACATCTCAACTACACACATATTCGTACTGTGAACAGACCCCCTGTATGAAGGCTGGAAACTTTTAGGTTTATAGGGATATGAAACATTCCAGTTTCTACTTACTTCAGCCAAAAACTCCATTCCTATTTGGAAACTTAATGTATATATTGTCATAAAAGAGCTTAATACAAATAAAACTGTTCTTTTCCAGATGTTCTATCATTTTCTTTTACATTAAATGAAGAATTAAAACCAGTCTATAAACCACAGGAGGAACAGCCTGACAGTTTCATGCTCCTGTGTATAAAATATGTGCTTTAAAAAGGAGCTTTATGTGTAACACTTCCTACCACTGGTGGTGCATGAACTGACCTCCTCCTGCAGAGATGCTGAGTCTAGTTTCAGTGAGAGGTACATGACAATATGGGGGATGTCTCCTATGGCCATCTGGAGCTCAGCCATGTCCTCCCCCCACAACAAACGCACCAGCTGGCTCGCAGGTGGAGAGGTCTTCATCATATGGGCTGTAGAGGGGTCGCTGGGACCCCCTTTATCTACTAAATCCACCGTCTCCAACGTTAGCTTCACCTGAAGGAAGGGAAGAGGACCATATATAGAATTAGGTAAACAAGGAGACTAAAGATAATAATCATTAAGGGAAATATATGGGACCAGTAGAAATAGATAATAACATAGAGTGTAAAAGAAAGCAGATCTAGGTATTAGTTATTGCATCTAACAGTTAAACCTCTTAGGTGCTTCAGATATATCTAAAAATTTCAGTTAATGTTGATGTGTCTAATTAATCTAATTAACCATTTATAGGGCAAGTTACCGTTTTTGATCCCTTGCATACCCCTTATAAATGGAGTCCCATCCTTCCCTGAGTGAGGTCTAGAAGCACAAGATCTATATCCAGCCATTCAGCAAAGATACTGCTACGTTGCTGTACATCTTATTTTGGCATTTGACCAATTAGTTATATATTACCTACTGTAAATTAAGTCGGAAAAAAAAAAGCAAGTTAACAAGTCAAGAAAAAAGGTAACAAGCTAATTGAAAAGTTAAAAAGTAAAGTTAACAAGTTAATAAGCCTAGTTAACAGTAATATTAGGTTTATAAAGTAAAAAATGTTTCAGTATCAGCATTAATGCCTCTAAGGTTGGGTTGTACAAAAAAAGTGTTCCTTTCACTCTCAGTGTTTTTCATGAATTTCTTATTTTTATTAATATATTCGGGTAAGTTGGCGTTTCTTGTTATTACATTGACAGAAATTTTTACCATCAAAATATCCATATTTTTTGAATGTTACAAAGGTAATAAGGTCATGTCCTGGATTCCAGTAACACTACTGGCTTGATATTTTGCTTTTCAAAGCATTTAAAGGAATAGTACACCCAAAACATGGATAGCCTTCATTTTCTACTCACCCCTATGCTGAACAACACTCTGGAGTACTTTTTTGATATCTCAAATGCATCTGGAGATCTGGGAGACTTCTTGCTGTCTGCTGACATTCAAATAATGGAGGTCTATGGTGACCGAGACAGAAAGGTCCATAAAAGTCCACAAAAAACGTGTCAATATTCCTCCATACTGCTCGTCCAATGTATTCCAAGTGTCCTGAGTGGGTAGCATCCAGAATTTACTCGAAACGAAGTCATTTAGAATGTTTTTAGAGCATAAACAGTAGTGTATAGGATTTCCTGAAAGCGCGCGCCGGCGAGTTCATGACGCTACGGAAACCGCGGCAGACCAAACCAGATGAAAGTGCGCATTCAGCTCGGCAAAGAACTCATGCTCTTCCTCAACACTGAAGTCCTCAGACATTTTTCTTTCGTTGTTTCTTTCTTTGCACAGGTAAACAGCACATTTCTTCTTCTACGCTTGCATTATTGGCAGAGCAGACGCTGAATGCGCACTTTCATCTGGTTTGGTCTGCCGCGGTTCCCGTAGCGTCATGAACTCGCCCATTAAATGCCCATATTAAGAAAATGACAAAAACTATAAAGACAAATATAAACTGTTTTCGAATGATTCGACCATATGTATCAAATCAAGCTGCACAAGTATATTTACATGCAATGATTTTATCCCATATGTCTTATTGCGCCATCGTTTGGGCCCAGGCCACAAAGTCTGTTTTAAAACCTTTACTCTCACTTCACAAGCAAGCAGTAAAAATATTCGATCAAAAACCGGTGAAGTGGCATCACTGCAAAATTACTAAAAAACACAATATGATGACGTTGGAAAATTTTATAAATTTCTAATTTTTAAAAGCTATTTTCAAATGCCTTAATGGTCTTGCCCCTGAGGTAATCTGTAAATTTGTTTTAAAGTATGCAAATGAAGGAATCAGGACAAGAGCTGGAGCTATGGGGAACTGCAGGATTAAAAGATGTCGGACATCTATGGGTCAGTCCGCCTTCTCAGTGAAAGCATCACATCTCTGGAACTCTTTGCCTCTGGAGCTTAAGTCACAGACTGATATTCGACTTTTCTCCACGAGATTGAAAAAATGGCTCAAAGACAAACAAGAGTGTGAGCACTAAACTGGCTTGTACTGTACATTTTTGTTTTAACTTCTCTTGTTTTTTAGTTTTTTTTGTTGTTGTGTGTTTTTATGCATTTGTGTGTCGTTATTAACCTCCCTCCCCCTTAATGCTAACACCTTTTAAAAGCCTAACCAGGGACGAAGGCTGCAAATTAGCCCATGGCTACAAGCCTTATGTACTTGGACATTGGCCACCTGTTTGGTTGCAATGTTTAATTGTACTGTCCCTGTCAAATAAACAAATAAATAAAATAAAAAATAAATAAAGTTGGTCTGCCGGCTTCCGTAGCGTCATGAACGCGCCGGCGCGCGCTTTCAGGAAATCCTATACACTACTGTTTATGCTGTAAAAACATTCTAAATTACTTCGTTTCGAGTAAATTCTGGATGCTACCCACTCAGGACACTTGGAATACATTGGACGAGCAGTATGGAGGAATATTGACACGTTTTTTGTGGACTTTTATGGACCTTTCTGTCTCGGGCGCCATAGACCTCCATTATTTGAATGTCAGCAGACAGCAAGAAGCCTCCCAGATCTCCAGATGCATTTGAGATATCAAAAAAGTACTCCAGAGTGTTGTTCAGCATGGGGGTGAGTAGAAAATGAAGGCTAATCATGTTTTGGGTGTACTACTCCTTTAAGTGAGCGCCCTATAAAGGGTTAAAATACTTGGGAATGCCAGAAAAATAACATATGTGAAGAAAAAACTAAACCCCTCACTGTTGATGAGCCACTTCCACAGTAGAACACAGTAATGGCAGCATCATGCTGTGTGGAGGCCTTTCATGAGCAGACTGACCAGCTCTGACCATTATGATCGGTTTGGCAGTGGGTCAGTAATGGTGTGGGGTGGCATTTCTTTCGATGTGCTCACCACAGGTAGCATGGCTGCTATCAGGTAGCAAGACATGATCCTCAGGTCCCATGTGACTTAGACTAGAGATAGACTTAGACAACTTTTATTGTCAGTTTGTATACACAGAGTATAAACAAAACATCATTTTATTTTGTACACCTTTCATAACATTTCCATTCTATAAAGTCAGTGAAAGAGAACAAAACATGGTGCAAAGAATACCTTTATATTGAAGTTCAGAGCATTAATATATATGTTACAATTTTGCAGTATTTTGTCTTGGTGTTATCAGTGTGATGCAGAGTTTGAGACATGATTTAGAGCTTTTTTTCCAACAGTTCCGCTGTCTGATTGCAGTTGGGAAGAAGCTATTGCTGAACCTGCATCGAATGTTGTGAAGGGAGAGCAGTCCATGGTGGGGGTGTGAGGGGTCATTGCTGATGTTACGGGCTCGGGACACGCAGCGCTGGGATGAAATGTCTTTAATGGAGGGAAGAGGAGCCCCGATGATTCCCTCTGCTGTTCTCACCACTTTTCCCACTTTATTCCAGTCTGAGAAGCTGCAGCCTCCACACCACACAGTGAGACAGCTGGTCAGAACGCTCTCTAAGGTGCTTCTGTAGAAGGTGGTGAGGATGGTTGGGGGCAGGTGGGCTCTACTCATTCTCCGCAGGAAGCACATGCACTTTTGTGCCCTTTTGACCAGCGAGGTGGCGTTTACAGTCCAGGTAAGGTTGTCTGTGATGACCAGAAGAAACTTGGTGCTGCTGACCATTTCTACAGCTGAGCAGTTGATGAGCAGTGGAGCGTTGTTAGGCTGGTTCTTCCTGAAGTTGACAATGATCCCCTTCATCTTCTCCACATTCAGGATCAGGCTGATATTGGAAGCTCATATGCTAGTGGGCTTGGCTCTGGGTTCCTCCTAATGCAGGACATTGCTAGACCTCATGTGGCTGGAGTGTGTCAGCATTTCCTGCATGGTGAAGGCACTAAAGCTGTGGACTGGTCCACCTGTTCCTCAGACCTGAATCCCATTCAGCACATCTGGGACATCATGTCTCAATCCATCCACCAACGGCACATTGCACCACAGGCGGTCTAGGAGTTCACGGATGCTGTAGTCGAGATGTGGGAGGAGATCCCTCAGTAGACCATCAGCCACCTCATCAGGAGAATGCCCAAGCATTCTAGGGAGGTCACACAGGCCAATGGAGACCACACACGATGCTGAGCCTTATTATATGAATGTTGGATCACACTGTAGAGAGTTTTCCACTTTAATTGTGTGTGTGTGTCCAAATCCAAATCCTCCATTGGTTAAATTACATTTTAACACAGACTGGCGACTCAGTGAGAGGAAAAATGACGATAAAAAAAAAGAAAAAAAAATAGCATGAAAAAGTCTTAGTGAGTCAGTGGTGGACCTCTCCTCACTCTGCATGCTTCAGTGTTGTTTGGTAAATAGACTGATTAATATAGAGCTTTTCTGGTCATACTGACCACTCAAACAGGCTTTACACAATAATCGCAAAAGGAACACAATGATGCAGATCGGCAGGTAGCATTTATGTGAGCAATCAGATTGGAAACAGACTGAGGAGTATAGAATTACAACAAACACACATTGTGGTGACTTTCTAAATATTTTTAAAAAACGTTAAAGGCCTTTGCTTGCTTTGCTGCTATTTGGTAATCGGTCATTTTAAGACGTTGAAAACAAAACACAGCTTTGTAGCATGTAGGAACAAACCTTTTTTATTTTTACTAAAAGTTTTAGAAACAGATTTCATGTTTCTCTGTTTTTGTTTTCTTCTGAGAAATTATCTAACAAAGAGCTTTAAAAACATGTTTGTGTTTAAATTCCATACTTTTCTGGACAGGATGAATGGATGTAGTGGGATCTGATACAAAGTCTGGAAAAAAGTCTGGATTTTCCATGATTTATTTTCTTTTTCCATACTTTTTCCAAACCTCGGTTATTATAAAATTAAATTCTAGACTGTCCATGGAATCTAGAATTTAAGGTTTAATGTGAGCACTGTTTGGGTGTTGAGATATGAAATAAAAGCCGTAAACACGTCTTAAGCCTGAATATTCATCTCTTTGAGTGCACTGACCAAATATGATGTTTAAAAAAAAAAAAAAACAGGATCAAATTACTGTGTCAGAGATGTGGAAGCTATATTTTTCTAATCCAACAGTCTGTGCAGAGCCTGTCAGCTCTAACCACAGGCCACTGGCCCCTCCGACAGGCCCCTACATCACTGCTGCCAGCTATTTTAGCCACTTTTACTGGAAGACTGTTATTACAGAAGCAGTGGGCAACACTGAATCATCCTGTGATGAAGCGTTTCCACTTATTATTCTGATTAAATAACCCGTCCAAGAGAGGAGTTCGGATTACTGCTAACAGGATTTAACTGGACCTATGCCTTTAATTATTTGGGATCTGTAAATGATGCGAGTGAAACTGACCCAAGTTGCATCAGAGTAAAACGGAGGTAGGAAAACACCAAGGGAAAAGCCTGAACGGGCAAACTGCAGCACTTTCCTTCATCATAAATTATAAGGCTGTGGTTGGACCTGAGTGTGCTTTCAGTGAAATTCCAGCCTGTTGATGTCAGTCATTTACCGACCATCCGCCGATGGACACACACACACTGGAGACACTGTAGTTAGGGTTAGAAAATGGTACAGTGGACTGACTTTAATGCTAATATTCATCCCTCCTGACATAATAAGCTCTGTCTCTTCCATCTGGGACGGCCGCCGCACAGAAAAACCACCCAACATCAAACTCACGCTAAGTTAAAAAATAAATATCCTTCTGTCAGCAATGCAACCCTATTTCAAGTCTGAAACGCATTCCTCTGCCCAGGGAAGTGTGCTATTTTTCCATAAAATCCTCCCCTGCATGTAATTTGGTTTCCGACTTCCATCTTCTAATCAGCCGAGCCTCCAGTCCCGCAACAATTTCCTTTGGCGCCAGAATTGTCACGCAGCGGTCCGGCCGACCCAACGTGCTTTCGCCTTCAGCGCTGCAAACGGTCTGTCATTTGCAAATTCCTGTTTATTGATGGTTTGTTGTTTGGGGGGAAAAAATGCTCAGAAGAAGAATCAGGACTTTTTTTTTGTTTTGTTTCTTTTGGAAACAGTCAAAAGGTTTTTCTTTTTTCGGTTACTGAATCTGTTTAACCACTCTTCTGTCTGCTTTTATAGCATATTCGTGGCCTTCTGAAATACTGAAGCAAAAGGAAAAAATTTAAAAAGCAGCCAGCGTATGTAAAAGTGTTTTAGAGAAGCAAAACCCCTTAAATAATAACTAATTAGGGCTAAAACAATTAATCCATGACATAATTAATTTATTACTAAATTAAGTGCTCTATCCAGAACTCCTTAAGTAGAAAAGTTTTAGTTTCACCTGGGTTAATTCCGTAAAAAAATCTTCCTTAAATAAGATTTCGCATAAATCTTCTTTAAGGAACCTTTGGCTATCCGATTATTATTTGATTAATCCAAAAAATAATCAACAGATTAATTGATTTGCAAAATAATCGTTAGTTGCAGCACTATAACTAATCAAGTAAATGTTGGCACTAAATGGGTGCCTGGTCATAAGAGGGTTTAGAAATAGGAACACACTGACCTGTGTTGGTCCCGGGATGCAGGACAGAACCCTCTCGATGTTTTCAGAAGTCACATCAACGTCGTCCACTGCTAGAAGCACATCGCCTAGAAAGAGTTTAAAAAAGAACAAGCCTTTAGTCTACTTAAGATGGTTCTGGTACCTCTCTACAAAAACAACCTATTAGAGATAGCATTGGGAGATCAAGTAAATTAATAAACATTTTCTATTCTTGCCTTTCTAAAAATATCTGAAAGTGTCCATTTCTCCCCCTATGAATGGGTTTAGAAACATTTTAGTGACGTTTCTTTATTTTCCTGAATCCAACGAGGAAAGGTTAAACAACTTTACATGCTTCTCATCTTTATTTAGCTCCTCTAATGATTTAAACGTGTTGCTTGAACTAGGAAATGAAAAGCAACGGGTGTCGGTTATATTCCCTATGATATCTATTTAGACAAAACACTGTATAAAGCTATAATAACCATATGAGTCATAATTTGTTGTTAATCATTCTGCACACAACTTATACTGTATTTTCTGCACTATAGGCGAATTGTAAATGAATGTTTTTTATATATAAGGCAAAGGTCGTCCTCTTGCTTCCACTTTAATACCATCAATTCTTCAATGTTGGATTCTCTCTCAGCTTCTCTATTCCCGTGTTCTACTGCTGGAGTGACTGCCTTGAGTTTGAAGTCTGCGTTGTAAGCGTGTCTCTTGACAGGTGCCATTTTGGGATCCTTATACACACACTGTAAATTACAGTGGAGCGCAGTATGTAAGCCTTAATACAGAGAGCGCTGTGGCTTTGTAGTTTACCAAAGTCACAACAGAACATTTTGACAGAGCGCTGTGTGCCTTAATCGCTTTGAGGTCAGTTAGCACAAGCAGAATAAAGTGATGTTTAAGGTGCTCCGGATTATAAGGAGCACTTTTGTTTTTAGAGGAAATTAAAGGCTTTTAAGTGCACCTTATAGGCTAGAAAATACAGTACAAAAACTCAGCTTCCAGAGCCTTACAAAGGTATTGGAAATTTCTTTATTTTTCCACATTTTTACATAAAAACTCATTTTAAGTATACTATTAGATGCGTTGGTCTGAATTGGGGCTGCAGCTAACGGTTATTTTGCAAGTCGATTATGTTAGGAATCCAGTTTGTGTAGGTTGTGTTTTTGTTTGTTTTCCCGCCAGCAGGTGGCGCCTGGTTCTCGTTGGCCTTCTCTCACCCCTGCGGATGGTTGCCTCATTACTGGAGTTTTCTTAAGCTGCTGACGGCCTGTACCTCGACGCCAGAGTGGTTGACAGTTTTGGGTACTCTAGCCAAGCTGAGTTTTGCTGAGTCAAACTGAGTTTTTGTCAACCTGAGCCTAACCTTGTTGTTTTTGTCTTTGCCTCTCGGCAGGAAGTCATCCTGCAAACTGGAAGTTTTGGACCTTCTCCCCCTGAAAGGATCGTCTGAGCGTCAAACTGAGCTGAGGATTCAAACTGGTGATTTGGATCAACACCCATTCCAAATGGGTGGACCCTCTGTTAGACTGCAATATCCCATACCCATCAAAGTGTCTGAAAGCTGGTCGTTAAAGGGGATTGTCACACAGGCTGAATAGACAAGGTCCTCCACTCTCCTTCACTCTCCTGTGCTGGGCTACTGTATAAAACCTCAAACTCAACCTATTCCTGACATTTTCAATTGAAAAAGCTTCCTGGATGGGAAGAGAAACATCGTTTTTTTTCGAATGACTATGAACTGGATGACTGAGAACCTTTACCAGCATTTTAAAGATAACTTAAGGAAGGATGGTCTTACCAATTAATATCTGACCGCATTTTATAGCTGGACTGTTTGGTATTAACCCTTGGACAGTCAGTCTACCCTCCTGTTGGACAGCGCTCTGGTCTTTCTGAACTTCAGTCCAGGCAGGACGATGTACCACCCCCAGGAGTGCTTCCAGCAGTCCTCCTCTGTCACACAGTGGTGTTGGCGAACTCGCCAGGCGTTTAGGGTTTAAATAGACACACACTTCCTTCAGTCGTCGCTGGTGAACAGTCACACCCTGTTGCTGGCCTGGCTGATTCTTTAGGATGGAAGCTGGAGGTGATGAAGTTGATTTGCCTCTACTGCCATCCTTCCCTCCTTTCCTCTGAGAGGAACGCCGTTTCCTCCCCAGGATCCTAGCAAGCTTTTTGAGCGCAGGCTCGCCTTTCCTCCGCGAGCCGCGTCTCTCTGTGTTAGTCTGTTCTGTGATGACCTCTGCCTCCTTTTCACTGAAGCGGACGTGGTTGGTGGATAAACACTGGTTGGTTGCAACACGGGCCAACGCCGCCTCTTCCTCTCCCTCACTTAGCTCCAGGTAGAAAAGTTCCCCGTTCTTCTGAATGTCATCCAGCCATTCTGGTTCCAGGTCACTAAGACAAAGCAGAGCATCACAAGACAGGATGAACACAAACCCTGGTAGAAAACATGGAGTCACTACTTCCGTTTCCAAGATTTGAACAGCAGACGATGACAGCTATTAAGAGTTACGACTTAAGTTGTTTTAGACTTAGTGAGATTAGTGAAAAACCATTAACAACTCCACAGACAATAGTCTCTGTATCTGTAGCCATCCGTCTTTCTTACTCCTCCTAATGACCACATACCGTTATTTGCAACTTATGTCAGTTTTGAACACAATTGATCAAATAAAGTAGGATTTCAGACAGTATTTATTCATTCAAGGCTGTTTTTCTATTACTGAAATTCTTTTTTTTCCACATATACTATTAATATAAAAAAAAATTATCCATGTCATACTATCATTTAAACTCCATTAAACCAGGGGACTGAAAAAAATAATTTTACTAATGTAACCATACTCTGATGAGGCACTTCCTGATATCTCCCTTTGGAAATTTTGCAGGCATGTCCCACTGTTAGGAGGAGTGAAGCTATCCAAACCACTTCAACATCTTTATATTGAGGCAGAGGCGTAGCCAGAACATTTTTAAAAGGGTGGCCAGGCAATAACCACTGTACACTGAGGGGGGGCCGAAAGTAGATAGGCGCCAGAACCTCAGGGTCAGTCTATACTGTTCCAACAGGAAAATGAATGAGCAAAACATCCATATTTTCAAAATAAAGACAAAATATTCTTTCCTACAGCCTTTGCTAACAAATACGAGTATATTTAAACATCCGTGCTTTCTAGATAAAAGGTATAGTGGATACAATTCTTTCAGGTTTGAATTCTTTTCCTTTGTCATTACTTACCTACTTTTATCAATAATCATTCTGCCAAAAATTTATATTTACAAGTACTAATATCTACATAAATTGGTTATTTAATACATGTCTATTAAAATAGTTAACTATGATTTCACTGAATACTCCTATATGACTTGCAGAGACAAATTTTCCTCTTTACCCCATGTAACTCAAAATGTAGTTCTGACTGTTGCCACCATCTGTATTAGAGGGATAAAATGGTAGGAGTGATGATGATTGGCTAAGGGTGGCCATGGTCACCCCTGGCCCACCATCTAGCTCCGCCCCCGTGAGGTCAGTTTAGATGCAATTTTTAAGTTTTGGAACATATTCCCAATATACTTCATGCCTGGTATTTGACTGGGTCACTTAAACATGTTTATTTAACCAAATTCTCAGTAGAGGCACAGATGAAGTTACAGTCAAGCTTTACAAAACTTAGGCTTTTCTGGGTTTACAGGGACTTCTAATCCAGAAAACATATTTTCCAGGGTTTAAGTAATCTAACGCAGCATAATACCATCGATGTAACCTTTTTTGCTTCAATCGACTCAAAGCAGTTTCCTTACTCGTCATAGTCGGAGCTGCTGTAACTCGATAATGTGGATTCACTGTTTCCATCTTCGTTTGCCTTCTGAGATCTCCAGGGTGGGTTTTCAGAACAAACCTCCGGGCTCAGAGAAGCCATTGGGTTCTAAAACCCTCCTATCCGTGCGTAAACTGGAAAAAAACCGGACCAAACATTTATTCTAATTATTTGTTTCTAGGTAAATAAGGAAAAAAGGCTACGAGCTTTTCGCCATGTTTGATATAGCGGTGCGTCACGTGACAAGATAGCGCCCTTTCTGATTGGTGGAATGTTGCCGTTGCCCCTAACAACACAGAAGCATCGCCTCGCCAGTTAGTTTTAAGCTGCTCAATATGAATCCAGATGGATTAACTTGGAAATAAATAAGTGCTGTTTTTGTAATTTAGGTTTGTTGAATATATTATTGTCGGTACCGCTATAAAAATATATATTATTTAGCTTTTTTTTTTATTTTAAGTTTTTTTTTGGTAGTTAACGCTTGTTTCTCAACTCTGTAAATAACTGGAACTAAAAAAGAGCCACATTTCCAAGAAGCACCCGGACATAAGCACCTCAAATAAAATACAGAAAAGCCAGCGAGTTCTAGGTGTAAAATGCAGATGTTGATTTATTAGAAAAGCAACTCGTTTCAGCCACGAGATTATTAAAAAAAAGCACAGCATTCAGTTCAGATCTGGCAAAGTGCCGCGGCTCGCAAACAGAAGCACTGAATCGGGTTCATGAAATAGATTCAAAGATGTAAATATGACGTCATAAGATTCTTGAAAAGACCCGACTCACCTGTAAAGTAGAACAGTGCGGATTGAATCAAAGTCCTCCAAGTTATTTGAGAAGGAATTTCCATCTATGTGATTGAACATCCTCCGGGTTTCATGTTTTAAAGTAATTTTATCAGTAAATAAAATAAAAAAGTTATTCGTAATTATATATATATATATATATATATATATATATATATAAAAGACAAACAGACAAACGAAAGGCAGTTGCTGCCTCTAAACTGATGATCAGACTGCCACAGTGCGGCTGAGACTTCCCGGTGGAGCCTCCTCCCGGGTTCCCACGTCAATCACGACCCCCCCCCCCCACCCCCCCACTTGCGATTGTCAAGCTTAATATAATTTAGTTACCTTCCTGTCATTATGAAAAAAAAAAAAAAGCATATAGTATAAAGACTAAAGATAGTAATCAAAGCAAAGCTCTCAAAGATGGAAGGAATGACTCTAATGCCACACTCGCGCTCCACCACGTGGTTTCAAATCAGCAATGTCAGCTAGAAAGTCCCTTCATCTAACACTAACATCTAGAGTTGCAGTTAGTAATATCTGAATATGTTCTAAGCAAAAAAAGCCAATGCATTTTCCTTCATAGTTCACTGATGATATAACTTGTGGAATAAAATCAAAACATGTAGTTAAAACCTGAAAATAGAAACATTGCTGACAAAAGAGTATTTTTTTTGTATTTTACTGACATTTAATCCAGCAAAAACATTTGAATTTAGAAATAAAGGAAGTTCGTTATGTAATTCAACTTCACCCATTTGTAATCAAAAGTATAAATCATACTGTTTCAAAAAACTTTTGTAGAAGTTAAAGTATCAACTTAAGCTTTTTACTCAATGAGAAGTGTAAAAGTACGAGTTTTAAAACTGCTTGAATAATAAAAGTAGAAGTAATGCAGGACAAAATGTTAAGGACAGAAGCTTTAATGCACTAGCCTATTAAAGAGACGTTTTTCTACAATTCTGGATGATATACTTAACTTTCTTAGTTTTGTAACTAATTCAATTTAGTTTATTTATATAGTGTAAATTCACAAGACATGTCATCTAAAGGCACTTCACAGTTCACCAGATCCTACAGTCAAATTGAATCAAAGTTTTATATCTAAGGAAAACCAGTTGATTGCATCGACTCATTGACTCAAATGCAATCCCTCACACTAAGCATGCTTGTAGTGACAGTGGAGAGGAAAAACCTTTAACAGGAAGAAACCTCCAGCAGAACCAGGCTCAGTGTGAGCGGCCATCTTCTGAGGCCGACTGGGGTTCAAGGAGACAGAAGCAGAGATACAAAAAGCAACTGTAAAAGGCGGCCCCATCCAAGAAACACCCAGCCAGGCAGACGAGCCCTGAGCCAGCTCCCATGTCAGAGGATGAAGAGAGCACACCCAGCCAGTCACAGTCAGAGATCTCGGACATCACAGGCCGATCTCCAACTAATGGTAACAGTTACAATTTTAACATTACATCATCTTGAAAAACTATTTATTTTGGTATGTGAACAACAAATCCATGCAGTACTGAGTCAAACCACAAAGAAATTGATTGTCTGGATGACAGTTCAACTGTTTCAACTACCAACAGGCCATAAAGAAAAAAATAGCTTAAATGAAACAGACCTAACAAGTCTATATTTAAAATGTAAGGAGTAGAAAGTGGAGATAATTGCAAAAAAAAAAAAAAAAAATGTAAGGAGTAGAAGTAGAAAGTTGTCTAGAGAAAAATCACTCCAGCAAAGTATAGATAGCCAAAATTTCTACTTAAGTAAGGTAACCAAGTATTTGTACTTTGTTACTTGACATCTCTGGGTACCTATGATCAAGACACACAATAAAAACTAAACTCAAATAGCCACCTAACTATCACCAGAAGCTTCAATATGCCAACATTTTCCCCCAGTGATGGAGCTTTAGACTCTAGTAATCTAGACTAAACAGAAAACATACAGTGTGATCTCTTTAATCTCTTACAGCATGAAAAGAGCCCACTTCGTATAGTTTGCGTCTACATCTGCTAACCCCCCTTTTGCACTAAATGATGTCATTTTTTATATGGACCATCTTCCCCAGCCTGTTTCTTATATTATTAATAACCTTCTGCTGTTGGGTTACTATCATATCGACTGTGCTAAAGGAGAAATGCTAAACCTTCCTTTCATTGGTTTATTAATGACTTTAAAACCTTTTTTTCTTCTCTTAAAAAGATAAAAAAATGACAAATATGCCAAAATTGAGACTTGATTTCTCCAAACATCTGCTGTTCTAGGTGCGTTCACCTTTTTGTTTTTATTATTTCTATGGCTCTGTCTATGTTTGCTTTAAATGTTTGCTAAGATAAATCCCCTGAGAGTTGTCTTACTTTTTTGTTTTTCTTTTATTGCAATTTATCTTTATCTGTTCATGTACACCTTTGCTATCCTCTCTGAGAGTATTTTTTCATGTAAATGTTTTTGACTTAATAATAAAAAAAAAAAAAGTATTCAGGTGTAATTCAAAAGTAAAAGAAGTAAAATATAAAATTATAAGTAGCTATTATCCAACAGCAGAAACTCCTAAGAAAAGATTTGGATTTGAAGAAGACTTTTTTTTTTACTTTTAAAAACACTTTATTTACAAAATTCAAACATATAAACAAATAGTCCAGGAAACCATCGTTTTAGTCCAGGCATGTTTTTAATAATTCTGTTGAAACATGGTTGGAAATTTATATCTGATTTTAATTGATTTATTTTTCATAGAATTCTTTATTATTTTTGTGAGATTGAAGTTATTTTTCTTTGACCATTTTATTATTATTTTTAATTTTATTTATTATTATTTACTACTTTGTAATTAATTTATGGAAATATTTATCTTTCATTTATTTTAAGATATATTTATGTGTTTGTTCATTTATTCATTCATTAATTTATTTCTAAATCTTTTCCTTTTTTATCTTTTATACTGTAAATCTAATATGATTTATTTTTTATTGGCTAATTCACAACACAAATCATCTCAAGGCATCAACAGATAAAAATTTAGGATAGTTTTACTGCTTAACCCCTTCTTTTTTTCAGGACTTTTTTATATAATCTTTTGTTGTTATATTGAAATGCGGGGGCAGTTTTCTCTTTAGGGCTGGTGCAGCTTATAGCTTTAACCACCATATAGATCATGTTTATCCAATCAAAACATTTAGTTTTCTGCAATATAGAAATACTGTTAGACATTTCACTTTGCACAAAGCTGATTTTTCCAGTTGAGTTTATTATCAATAATAAATCCAGAGAAATCAAACTTGATATCTCACATTTAATAGTTTTAGGATATAGGCTGCTCAGTGGCACAGTGGGTTGCACTGCTGCCTTGTATCAGGAAGGTTCTGGGTTCTATTCCCATGTACTCCAGCTTCCTCCCACAGTCCAAAAACATGACTGTTAGGTTAATTGGCTAAATAAACTAAGTAAGTCTCTAAATTCTCCTTAGGTGAATGATTGTTTGTCTCTGTGTTGCCCTGTGATGGAGTGGGGACCTGTTCAGGGTGTACCCTGCCTCTCGCCCATAGACAGCTGGAGATAGGCACCAGCACCCCTCGCAACCCCCTCTTGGGATTAAGTATGTTAGAAGATGGATAGTTTTAGGATTATAATATGATAGTTATGTACAGGAAGGTTGAGATCCTCAACAATAACCTGGTTTTGAACTGTAAACCCTGCTTTATCTTAATAACTTGTAAACAAAATCTTCTTGGTGCTAAAAGAAGCAAAAAATGCAACCAGTTTTATAAAAGATGAAAGTGGGATTTCCTCAAACACAATAAAGTCGACTTATAGTTCCAGAAAATAATGAAGGAAGTGGTAGTCAGGGTGCTAGACTGAGCTACAAACACGCACACAACAGTCAGAGAGCAATTTAAATATATATATATTGAAATAATATAAAATATAAATATTTTTTATCATATGTACAAAGGCCCAGTGGATCCCTGAGGGACGGGGCTCAGTGACAGGAGGGCTCGAGGGACGGGCCTCAGTGGCAGGAGCCAGGAATCAAAGCGGAGATCCTCCAGGGTGGGTCGTCTCCTATTGTCCTCCTCCAAACACTGGTGCAGAAAAGCCAGGCACTCTGGAAAGAGAAGCCAAGGGTTAATGGTCAGAAGCACAGGCGGAGGGTAACTAGACAGCCCCTTGCTGGTTATGTTCCTATACCTTGCGAAAGTTTTCTGTTGAATTTCATGAGGCCCCGTGTAAAAAGTCTGGTGTCAAGGTGACGCCTGTGCAGCATTTGATACAGAATGACACCCAGCTGCCAAACCGTGGTTGGAGAAGGTCTGTATTTGCTGCAGCTGAACCACTCTGGGGGGGCGAATGCAAGAGTACCTGGAATACAGGCATAGTCAGAGCAGACTGTTATGCTTTGTTCGTCCATTTGGTTTCTAAAGGAAATGACTCTTGGAGGATCTCAGTTAAAAGTTTAATAAAGTAGAACCCACCACAAAAACGTTTGCCCCATTTCCACCAGTGTGTTTTCACATTTCAGGTCTCGGTGGAGGTTGTTGTGGAGGTCTATGGCAGCGTCCACCATCTGTTTCATAAGAATCTGGAATAAAACAATGAAAAACGTGTTTTTATCATTAAAGATCTCATCTTCAGTGGTTGAGATTAAATAAAAATTTAACAAATTTATTCTCTCCTTAAAGATTTCTTTGGTTTTTATTTTTATTTTTTTTTACACATTAATGATTCAGATCATTAAACAAAATGTATTATTAGAAAAAGATAAACTGAGTTATAAACAAAATGCATGTTCCATTGATCAGAGACAGAGAGAGAAGGTATCTAAACCCGAATTGATTATTTTCTCCTCAACCTAAAGACTGGTTGAGTCTCTGTTTGTGGCGACAGCGGACATCAAGCCTTCATGATAAGAGTCGTTAATCTTTTCTATCGGCGCGCAGGAATTTTATGGAGGGGATGTTGTTCCATTATTGTTGTAAGAAAAACATATTTTTGCTAATTGAAATTGGGAGAAAAAAAGCAATTCAGGGATGAAACTGAAAAACGTTTTAAGAAAAGGTTTTGAGGAAAAAACTAAGCTGTTTTCTTATATTCTTGTATTCGTTTTTTTTTTTTTTTTCAAATTTATATTTCAGATGTAATTTTTTCAAATGTTTTATTTATATTTTTTAAGATTTTGTGTTTTTTTTTTTTTTTTTGTCAGACTGAGTTTTTTAAATAGTATTCTTTTCAAATTTCATTATCCCAGATCACGTTTGGTCACATTTGGGGGCGGGTTTCCTCTGAAGGAGGGACCCATTAGAAAAAACTATAAAGTATGCTTAAAAAAAAAACACTTTTTAATTCAAACTGTTTCATTCCAGAAATGCATTTTTTAAAATACTTCCTTTAACTAAAAAGGTTCTTTGCTTGCAACAATAATGTCATAAAATTCACTCCATAAACTTTTGCTGATCCTTTATTTTTTTGCTCTAACGGTCAGATTTTCCTCACTCAAAGTTTTGTTCCAGCCTCCCTACCCTGGACTCGTCTTCCTCCAGGCGACCTCCACTGCAGGCCACGTATTCCACAAGATTCATGGACCCTGGTGGCCTTTCCATTACAATGACCAGGTCCTGATCCATAAGGTACCAGTCCAGGAGGGTGACGGCAGCAAACACCCCCACTGCATTTGGCTCACCTCCGGCCTTCTGCATGAGGGCCACCTCCAGGGGAACACCGTCCACCTTAAAAAAACCACAATGACCTGATTGTGTAACTAACGGCAAAGGACAAATACTATCTACTAACATGACTGGGAGGCCGGCTGCTTCTAAACCAGTTCACTCACTTCACTCAGTCTGATGTGACCTATCCTCATGTCCATGTACTTGATGGCCACCTGTTGGACACAAGCACAAGTGTTATCCTTTCTGCAGACATCGGCAGTGATGCTTTCAGGATGCCTGCTTAGATTTGAGTCAAAGACAGACAGAAGGCCAAGAACACAATATAATATTAACCGGTAATGAAATACCGGTTCCAGGCGAAGGCCAGCGTAGACGGATCCGAAGCCCCCTCTGCCAATCAGTCCAAGATATTTGTATTTTCTTTCAAACTCAGCTAAGAGTGAAAAGAGAAATTACCTGATTATAATAAAGCTGTGAATACTGTCAGATTATTGATGTTAATGATGAACAACAGCAATCAGAGATGCAGACATCATGTCTGTTGCTTTCAATGAACCTCCAAACTCTTTGTTTCTGTTTGGGTTTTTCGAGGATCAGAAAATGTCTCTAGTTCCTTCTGTTTACATTCCTGTCGGGGGTTAAAATATTTTCCTCTTATATTTTCAGGATGGCTAAAATTATTCTCATGATTTCTTCAAATTTTAGTAAGCTAAACCTTTTTAAAAAAAAAATAAGACTAATATCTATGCTGACGACCTGATTGAATTAGAAATACTTTCATAAGTATTGAAAACTTTCTTAAGTTCTTAAACTGAGTTGAATTTAACTTTGACCATTTGTGCAGGAACTCTGTTATTTTAACCTGATTATAGCAGCAATTATTCTCTTATATTAAGCATTAGAAATGTCCAGAGGCTGTCAGTGATTCAGAATCAAGTTCTTTATTCATATGAAGATAATTTTCCCATAAATGGTTCATTAATACTGGATCAAGCGAAACTTTTCCCTCTTCTGTAACTTTTCACCTTCATTTACTCTCTAATCACAAACTAATGAGTTTTATGGGAACTGATGTCAGAGTTGCACAGTTGTCAGGTAAAGAAAAAATTGATGCATGGTTTTCAGAATTTGATATAAATCTACTCCCTCTGACCAGCTTCCCTGTGCCTGCTAAAGAGGAACAGTCCCACAGCATGACACCACCACCATCCTGCTTTACACTGCCAATGGTTGATTAAGGGGGTTATTACTGTTAGCTCTAGCTTTGCTATTAAAAGCTGTCTGGCTTTGAATTAAACCTTTAAACATAAAAGTTATAAAATTTCCTCTCTTAACACTAAAACTGAGAAGGAGTAAAATAGCTTGTCTTTAGCCTAAGCAGAAAAAGGAAGGATGTTTGTATTCCCACTTCAGGAGTTGCTGAGGTGCATTTATTTCAGTGTTGGGCTCACATTTGTCAGAAACTGAGCTGCTGGTGCCTTGCTCTGGCTCAGAGACTCTCTGCCTCTTCTTAGAGGACTCTTCAGGGACATCGGCCTTTCTCTTCCTCTCCCTAATAGGTTCCAGCTCTTCCTCTGGCTCCCTGAGTCTGATACTGGGGCTGCTTATCACTATTATGCTGGCTGGTGCCCGTCCAGTAGAATTGCTCTTTCCCTTTTCAGAATTAGAATCAGAAATACTTTAATAATCCCAGAGGGAAATTACTTTTGTTACACGCTCCAGTTACAGTTTTATATACATATACACACATCCAACAACACAAATAAAGATAAAAATAAAAAGAGATAAAATATATACACATATAGCTCCTCTGTGTGTATATATATATATATATATATATTAGTGCTGTCAAGCGATTAAATTTTTTTAATCGCGATTAATCGCATCAATGCCTGAGTTAACTCGCGATTAATCGCATTTTAATCGCAAATTTTTTTTCTGATTGAAAATCATTTAAATACCCTCGATGACATACAAAAAATACATACAGGGTAGGTTTGTGCCAATGTTCTTTTTTTAAATGAGAACAGGTCACAGACACTGATTTATGCCATAGAAACATATGGCAAGAAGATGGGGAGGCATGTAGCAAAAAATAACAAATATGTAGCCAAAAAAAAAAGGCCCTGAAAACAGGCTGATGTAAAAGACAGTCTTTACAGTTAATACAGTCTTTTGAACAAAGACAAGCATTTTACCCTACTGCTGTAAAATGTAGTACAGTTAACATTAGATGTTAATTAATCAAGATAATAATGAACAATTTTCAATCAATACATCAAAATCAATAGACCGACATCACTAGATGGAGGTAGTCTATGCTCTAGAAAGTTACTTTTCAGCCTCTTAACAAAAATGAGAACACACACACAAGCACCCACCCACCCACCCACACACAGACACACCCACCCACACACGATACCGACCTGTGACAGCAAGAGTGCCGTAGCAGATTCCATTTCACCTCAGTAATCTGTTTTCTCAGCGTATTTCAGGTTGCTACTAGTTACCAGACACTCAACTTGTTTGTTGGTGGTGGGGCTTAAAGAAAAGGCACTAGCGCTACCCAGTGTATGAGCGTCTTTTATCCTTGAGGAGCTCCGCTCTTGAAGCCTATGAGAAATGCATAGACTGGGGGAAAATAGCCCCGCCTTCCCGCAGGCTGCAGCGGGATGTACTTGGACACTTTTACCATAAAACCACATAGCGTTAATCTCACGTTAAAAAAATTATCGCCGTTAAAATGGCCTCGCGTTAACGCGATAATTTTGACAGCACTAATATATATATATATATATATATATATATATATATATATATATATATATATATATATATATATATATATATATATATATATATATATATATATATGTATGTATGTATTTTGGTACTTTTGGTATTTATTTTGGTACCTTTTGGTACTCTCTCACAAACTCTACGGACACAGACTGATCTTGTCCAGCGGTGAGGTGGCTGAAGTTGTTGCAATTCTGTTTGCATAAGTTTTTGTTGTCCAACTCTGTGACAGCCTCCGCCTTTCTTTTCCTGCAGCTTGGTTCATCCAGACGGCTGCTGGGTCCAACAGAGACGCTCTGGTTATCTGAAAGAGTTCATTGGACAAATGTTTACACTCTATAGCACAGGGGTCACCAACGCGGTGCCCGCAGGCACCAAGGGGCCCTCAAGGACCACATGTTGCTCTTCTTTTTAATCATTTATGTATTATTTCATCATTTTGACTATTTCATCATATTTCTGTGGTTTCAAAATGACAATATCAAAATGAAAATAAGAAATTAATAAAAGAATAAAATAAGAATAAAAATGACTTTTTATGCATGAGATTTACTGTAGGTGAATACTGATCCCTCCAGTTCATAGGTCAGTATTGGTAGCCCTTCCTATGACTCGGTAGCCATGAAGTAGCCCTCAGCCTTAAAAAGGTCGGTGACCCCTGCTATAGCAGATCTATTTAGGAAGCAATGGAGGAGGATGCAGACTAAGAGAAATCTAAAACCCCTCTTTTTAGTTATAAAACATGAGCCACCAAATACTTTGACAAGAAAAAATGACACTTTCCCATGAATCCACTGATCCTGCATCACCAAAGATTTGATAGAATAAAAACTTGGCAGCAAGGAATTAGGTTTTTGCAATTTCTGGAGGAAAAATGCATAATTATCATATTTTTTACATACAAGGTAACTGCGAACCTTTTATTGTCAAACCATGTCATGTTTTTCCAGTAAATGTAGCATAACATTTTATTGGATTTTAAAATTTAATGAACATTCATTAAATCACAAGAGGAAATGAATTGATTCTGTTTCTCAAACACATCTAATGTTAGTACATTAAAGGTATAGCGGTGGATTTTTGCATATTTTTTAAAAAGACCTGCCCTCTGCACTTAAAAAAAAAAATGCACATGCACAACCCTGAACCTAAGGGGGTAAAACTATTAAACACGTGCGAGAGCGTGCACGAGCCCATTTCTCCTCGCGCACGCTCTGTTTAAAAGTTTGCATCCTTCATACAAGCTCACTTTCCAAAAGAAGATTTGCATTTTTTCCACTGTGTCAGACTGAAAATAATTGGAAATGGGGTCGAGCACGCAGGACGGCCCAACTTAAACATATCACCAGAATGATAAACAATAAGGACGACCACTAACTTTGATGATCCACCTTGAAAAAGAAAATCCTCCACTATACCTTTAATATAAGATAACATTTCTGCAACGTTTGGTTCCCTAAAATTTAACTCTGAATTTGCATTCCTGTTTCTTTTTCATATACCTTGAACATCACCTTGTTTTCCAGAGAAAAGAGCAGGTGTGTTGGCCTACAGCTTAAAAATGATATGGGGAGGAAAACTTACAGACACATTCGCTGACAGAACATCCACTCCTAGAGCTATGGAGGGAATTAAGCTCCATTTTTGTTGCAAACAAAAGAAAAAGATTTGTAAATGGAAATAGAAAAGAATCCAGAAATAAAATGTGGAAAATAAATAATCCCCCCCCCCCAAAAAAAAAAAAATATTTTTTTTTACAAATTTTATAATTTCAACCTTTATCTTTCATCATTTTTACTTATCTTATATTTTTAAATTTGTCTTTCTTAGACTGAGTTTTTAAATATTTCATTCTCTCAGCCGAATACAAATGCTCGCTCTTGATGCACACATTGACCAATAAGGTGTTGTTGCTAACATCCAGCAGACCAATAGAAATTGCTCCACCCCCGAGAAATATAGAAAATTTCTACTAAATTTATATTTAACAGATTTAAATAACCACTCTGATCATACTCCTTCCTTCACTGATCCATAGAAAACAATGAACGGTCATCAATGGTTAGGAGAACATGAACTGAATCATCTCTCTTAACCCGCTTCGCGCTCAGGAAGGAGCATCACAACCTCATCATCGTGGTTAGCGAGACCATACTAGTTAGAAGCACATTTCTCAAGTCAATAACTATAGAAATGATCCCTGAAAGTATAGTCTTAACATTAACCTGCTCTCTCCAACCTACTAACATTAAGGTCCTAATAGTCTCAGCAGTGGTGCAGACAGCATATAGAGCTCTTCGTACACAAAGTAAAATGAATGCACATATCAAAATCAAGACGCCATAAAACTCCCAACAGCTTTGAGTTTGCAGGACCTTTTGAATTTGCTGTGCAATCAT